TACGTTAAGTATTAACTACTAAGGACTTATATTTAATCTAAGGCTATTATATTAAAATATAAGGTAATATATATTAAAAGAAAGCTATTATAACTCCTATATCTAGGTAACTAGGCTAATATAAGGAAAGGTCCTCTTACTAGACCTATATATATATAGGCTATAAGTTATATTATATCTAGATTAGGAGCTAAGGTTTTCCTTTAGGTACTCTAGTTTTTCCTTAGCTTATTACTATAAAGGTATTAGATAGGCTATTTAGCCTAGTTAGTATATAATAATAATAATAAAAATAACTATATTATAAGTTTTTAGTTTTTTTAATTTTTATTTTTTTTTAATAATTATACCTAAGGGTTATATTATTAGTTAAACTTTTTTTATATTATATTAACTTATTTTCTTTATTTAAAACTATTAGATATTACTATTTTAAAAAACTAAATATAGATTATTTAGTAAACTTCTCTAATTTTAAGTTATAGAAGATCTAAATCTAAAATATATTTTCTTTTAAAGTATAAAAAAGTAAATCTTAAAATTAAAAGGCTAAAATAATATTTATATAGCTAATTTTTATAAATTAATTATATTAACTTAAATTAAACTTTAATATTATTATAATTCTTCTTTATTAATAAAAAACTTATATTATTTATAAATTTAAACTTATTATATATTAATATAATAAATTTTTATTAATTTTTATTAAAGTTATTATTTTTTTAAAGTTCTATTTAACTTAAATAAAAGCTAATTATAAATAAAACTTAAAAAATTCATTAAAAAATAAGATTATTAATTATTTTTAATAATTAATAAAGTTCTTTAATAAAAGATACTTTTATTTTTAAGTTATATAAATTTTATATAATTTTAGTAGATATATCATACTGAATTTAGTAATACTTAACGCTACCTACGACTTAGTTCTAGGTAAATTGCCTAGAACTGAATCTTGGAATTATGGCCTAATAGCTAAGTTAGTTGTTATCGGGTTAGAAAAGGCGGCAGAGACACACGACTCCTGACGCTTTATCCGACTGTGCTCCATCAAACGCGTCCTATTCCGCCTCCCAACCCGCGACCCATTACGAAGTCAAAGAGTCTGAGCTAGCGGGCTTCCTATGGATCTTCATGTAGCCCATGTCATCTACCGGCGTTTCCAGGTTCTCACCTTATCAACACCCACCGAGATGACTGTCACTTACCTCAATCAGTTATCATTCGAACCATGTCCTTGGCACTTTCATCCCATGTGCTGTATCGATCAATGTTCCCGGCGAGGCCGGCGGGTTCGCTGCTTGAAATTGATATATAGCCTGCCAGAAATATATAGAATCTTGGCTTTGTTCAACAGCCGATCACTGGTAATGAGTGTATGTCTAGCTAGGTCTGTCGAAGATAAGCACTGGTCTTTGTATAACAATCGCCTGTGTTGTTCCATGTAATCATATCAAAGACGTAGATTGACCGAGTGCTGGCAGAGCCTCCGCCATGTCTCGTCACAGCGACTTCGCACCGAAGTAGCCAGACAACAGCGGGCCATGACCCAAGCGTTATAACTTTCTTTATTTTTTTGAACTCGAGGAAATAAGGGATCTTCTGCAACATCCAGTACCCAGAGGTATACACTATTTGCCCGCGGATATTTCGCGCTCCACCATTGACGGATCTTTCGGGAACTGATTCGGTATTTGAGACATCACTTACATGACGTCCTTCGGGCTGTGGTAGTAGACCATGCAACAATATGAGGCATATCTCGATAAAGAATTATTTGAGGTATTGTGCAACGAGTTGTCTCAGTCCTTGCCTTTCAGAGCAGGCGCTTCCAAGTATGATCGACAAGACTAATTGAGGCGTCGCTTTATTGCCAGCCAAACCAATGAACGTCAAGAAACGTACTTACTGTACTTCGAAATGTGATCAAGATAATTCAGTATGCAATATCTGCTGAAGTTTTTGACAATACGCAGTCATCAGCGTCCGTGACACTGTACATAAGGAACTTACGTTCGAGCAACCATGGAGGTCTATGTTCGAGCGGATCCCGTAGGACCCAGCAGTGAGCTCTAAGCATGAAGCTTTCGTAATGCAGCTCCGTTTGCTTCTTTCTGCCAGCTGCCAAGCGGGCCGACATGCCGTTTGCTCAGGTTCTCATGCCTGATCGCTTCCTAAGGCGCTTCTCTCAATAAAAAAATTCGTAGACAGGCTTGAAAGAGTCATATAATCAATTTTCTCTTATCTGAAAAGAAACAAAGGCGAAGACCAAGACCGAACCCTGTACGTCCCCTACGGTTCCAATGTCGTCCGTATCACGAAATACCACGGATCTCAAACGAAGTTCCGGCCCAGAGTCTCCCGTTGTGCATTCCATCAGGTCTTCTTCGTTGCGTAATTCGCCGTCTTCGAGATCAAAATCACTTTCCCCGCGAAAACGCAACACTAAGCAGCCGTTGCATGTACGAATGAACCTGACGGAGACGCAAATGGACAAAATCACCGACGCGTAAGATAACTCAACCCTCTCAAGGTCAACTCTCATTTTTGATAGTTTCGCGCAAAAGCTGAGCACGAGCCGACCAAGCCGGACAGAACCACACATGATCAACGAGGGCAATAAGCAATCAACTCGAGATCAGCCTACAAGTGTCGAGTCGGGGTCCAGGTCGTCTGGCTTACAGCCCAAGCCCTACGAAACTATCAACATCTTGTCTCCCAACTTTTCAGAGCTTATGCCTCATACGAACTACGAATCTCTAGCGATAAGACGACAAAAAGCGGTACCAGACCAGATTGACGTGTCAATTCAGCATCGAAGCGCCACAAAACCACAAAGACGACAGATGGAACAGGTTGACGTAGCCGTCTCACCGTTGAGTGTAAACCTTTCTATCAAGAAGAACACTAACGATAGACCACCCTCGTCTTCTTATTCCTCTCATGGCATGGAGCTACAGTCTCCCAGGCCGTTAAACATACCAAAGCAGAGAAGAAGTCAGCAGCGACACGGCAACGATGGAATGATAGACATCTTTAACGAATGGACGCAGATCTATAGGTCTGGCGTATCACCACTTTCTCCTGAGCCAGTCAGGCCACGTGTCATTAAGACTTATCATCCGAGAAGGTCCAAGAGTCTAGCAAACGGCATAAGGAGACAGCAGAGTCCCGTGGTAATGTCACGAGACCCTGAATTAGGGCGACAGACATATTACCCCCCCGACATGGTCTCCGAGAGTCCAATGTTTTCGCCCTTGTCACTTTATTTCCGAGGGCAAGACTTTCCCACTGTAAAACAAGGCGGAAAGACGCTGATTGGCAATAATGGTTGGCTTGAGAAAACTGGACAAGATGGCTTTGGGCTAGAGGGAGCCAGCAAGTCAGCTCAGAAGAAAATCGGAATCTTTGACAGCATCAAAAAAATTGCCAAAGACATGGTACGTGATACTGTGCCGTGACTTTAAATCCCAGCTAACGTTTTAGACTGAACTCCATCATCCACATCGTCGACTTCCACATGCCAAGGCCTCTGGTGCACAGCTTCTTATATCTCTTAATCCAAGAGAGCAGAGCCTGCTCTATTGCGAGTTAGAGTATCACCTCACTTGTGCTTTGAACAACTACATATCCCGTGAGCTCGAAAAGGGCCGCCTCGTACCTACCAACTTCAAAAAGATTACCGACGCATGGTACCAACAAGGCCGGCCGCGTGTGGTCGGATTTCGCTTCGACCTGGAGACGCAAGTCGACCTCGTGGCGCTACACGTCAACGAGTTCACTTTTTGCGGCCGCCGTCAGTGCAACCCGGTTGAGATAAGCAGCCTTCTGCACGCGGTAAAGGTCAACGCGCGTGCGATGCGCATCCGTACCTTTTGTCAGCCCGACTCGGTCATCGCGAAGCAGCTGGCAGACAGCCAGTCTCTGTTTGACATGATTGGGGCTGCAGAAGACGCAAGCAGAGCTTTGTCAGAGATTTTTCACTTTTTCAAAGTCATTTGTGAGCGAGAGCACAAGGTCCTGCAGCAGCGGCAAAAGGAGCATGGGCAGACTACCAGCGTTGGCGCCGCGTCACCCTTAGCAAAGAAGAATATGCATCGCTTGTTACGTACAGCTGACTAGATTTGTAAAATTACCGGGTGAATTGGAAACTAGAGAAGAAAAGGCACTGGATAGGCATGTAGGCAGCTTGTACTTGAATGAGACATCAAAAGACTGTTGGAGGCACAATACACAGCGTGATTGAAGCACCTCCGTGCTACAGAGCTTTCTGTTAACTTCAGCAACAAAATAGCAATGATTTGGCCGTTATACATCATCATAGTCATGATCGAGGTCATCCAGGACATTTATCAATCTCTGTGCCTTCTGTGGTCGTCACGTCGGCGGTCGTCGCGATCCTCATAGTCATCATCACGTCGCGAGTGGGAATGTCGGCGGTAATAGTCGCCATCATCATTCCTACAGAGCAAAGTTAGCAAGTCCTGGTCTCTCTCTTATCCTTGTTATGCAATCATACTGGCTTCGGTGTGGGCGCTCGCGCTCACGTCTCTTTTCACGCTCTCCCTCGACGTGGTGCGCGAATGCGTTGGCACCCAGGCCACCTGCAACGGCACCCAGAATCGTCGAGACCGCCTTTGGCACCGTATGGTCGTCGTTGTGGTGGTGCTGGTGGCCACCCTTTGCGCCGCGATTGTACGCCGCATCAGTCGCCTTGTTGGCTACAAGGCCTCCAACAACCGCCCCTATAATACCCGCACCAATACCAGCGGACGAGTTGCTGAAGTTGTCCTCCATGGTGTTGCGTGCGCGGCTCATGGGGCTCGGAGAGCCGCGACGGTGATCCCGGCGCGATTCGCCGTCGTCGTCATCATAGGCGGAGCGCGAGCGCGAGCGCCGGCTGTGGCCGCCGCGAGAACGCTCGTAGGGCGACTGGGAGCCATCTCGATAGGCTAGCGCATTGTCGGGCGGCATCGAGTTGGCGCGGCCGTAGCTTTGAGCGGGCGGCATAAGCGTCATCTCCTCACGCTCAAAGGGCTCGTCGTCGCGAAAGGGACGTCCAGGATCGCCAAAGCCTACAGCAGGACCGCCTCCCGCGCCGGAGTAGTAGTCGGGGGATCGGTTTCGACGCGAGCTGTGCCCGCTGCGGTAGTCATTTTCGTCGTCGTAATTGGAGCGCGGCATATTGGAACGCTACTTGAACCGCGATGCGATGGCGGGTGGTCGCAAAGGAGGGTGTTATTAAGGTGCCAGTGTTGTGATCGCAAGTGGCTGTCGCGGTCTCAAAAACGCAAGGATTTCTAGCTTGAAGAAGTCGAGATGTCATTAACTTCATATTTCCCTTTTCATGGCTGTGAGGCTGAGCAAAGAGATGCATAATGGTACCGTCCGGTCAACCGTCAAGGCGCACAGCCCCAGTATTAAGCAGGCGGTGCTCGTGGGTACAACCAGTGGTTGGCGGAGCGCTCGGATGATCGGTTTACAGGGCCATGGTTGCATCGAGGTGGGCTCTTCTTCGCAGCGGCGCGATTTGTGAGTTGTGAAATCGAGAAGATTATGGTTGGCGAAACGTACTGAGCTGTGTGTGAAGGCATCACGAGCAATGTGCGCATGGAACATGTAGAAGGAAGCCCGACCAAGGCAGGGTGGAAGATGTATAACAACAAGTCAAGCCGCTGGTTTTCCAGGATGTGTTTTGCTTTCGACTTCTATTTGGTGAGCTTCGACTAGGCTGCCAATACGGATCTTAGTGGGCGAAATGGCTGTATGAACGAAATCATCTTTGTCCACTTCGCAAGGACCGTTTACTAGAGATGAAGCTTCTCTACAGTACTCATCATCAGGCTTCTTTTGCACCTCTCATCAACCACGGGTGACCAAATACGCAATGGAGCTGTTATGTGAAGCTGATCTGGGTGTCGGGCCAACAAAATTCGTGAAGTTGGCTGTGAAAAGGGCGCAAAAACCACAGCAGGAATCAGCGCCACCCAATCTAGTTACGGATTAGACACGAACAAAATGAAGGGGAAGAGATGAAGTGGCGAATTAAAGTGATGCGGGGCTGGGCCCGGTTGTGTAAGCTGCTGTCTTTCATCCGTGTTTCCCTACGGTCCGTCGTCCCGAAGTGCCTACAAGATTATTACGTGATGTGAACAGGGCTACTGTATCCCGCCGCGTCGCTTTGAACCCGAAGACGACTGTCTTGAACCCTGATAAGGAAAAAGCTGGCGTTTGCTGGCATCGTACCATGCCGAAGTATCTTTCGATGAGAAGTTGGCGTCATCGCAACTCAGTACTCGCTGACAGCTTCCCAGGGAAACAGATGGGCTGGCCACCTCGTGATTAAAAGCGAGATGGGAAAATTAGAAGAAAACAAACTTGAGTTTAAGTAAGAAAGATAAACAAGGCAGTTGACGTAGACAAGAAAAAGGTCACTCATAGGAAAGAAGTCTAAAAAGCCACATGCCAGGCTGCATGACCCCACAAACGAGCATCGCCCGCTCTTCGCTACCAGAAACGCCAATACTGGGATCAAGTCGGTGCTCAAAAGATAACCAGAATAAACAGCGACCAAATTGTTAGTGCCTGTCCCCGGACCCTTGTTCCGATCATATTCCCGAGCTGGTCAGGTTTGCATATGTCTGCCCTCTTGTCACAGGTCGGGGGCTCGCGCCCGTCGTCCTGCTGAACAGTTTCTCCGGCCTGATACATGCCGGGAGACGGTCCAAAAATTGCATTCCCTCCATCCAACTTTTGCAATCATCATCTCCTAATCTCATCCTTGTGCAGATCGGTGTCCGTTAAGCGACGTCGCTGCATATCCCCTTTCACCTCCATCGCCATCGAAATATTTTGTGGCCCGCGCCACTAGATCCTGTTTGCCAAACCTCCGTCTTTTCATCTTCTCAGGCACGACTCGACTCTTAAACTTAGACCTATTGCGTGTACTGTTGAACGCTTTGTCTTGGCCAGAATGTCCAGCTCGCTCACTGAGGAAGGAGACTCGTTGGCCACAAGTCAGGCCGAGCCCGTTTCCCTTGCTAAGCCCGTCGCAGACACCGAAAAGGCAGAGGCCAGCAAAGTCACGCAACATGTTATCGAAATAGGTTGTTCGTATATCAGTAATGATACCGACTCTTCATCCGGTCTAGAGCGCTGGAATGGGTCAAGAGACAACACGGCTCGCTTCCTGGTCGTCAATCTGGCCCTGTTCATTATGGGCATGAACGATGCCTGCTTAGGTGTAAGTGTAGCTGTGTTACTCTTATCTATTCGCCATACAATTAACACCGTTATAGGCACTTCTTCCATATGTACGTCACAATGTCAACTAGTGGGCTCATTGCTCTAACTATGCAGATTGAACCATACTACAATGTCAACTACACCCAGGTCTCAACTCTCTTTGTCGTCCCCTTCGTTGGCTACGTCGCCGCCGCCCTATCCAACAACTGGATTCACTTCAAGCTCGGCCAGCGAGGCGTGGCCTTCATCGGGCCAATTTGCCGCGTCGTGGGCTATCTGCCCATGGCGCTGCACCCTCCATTCCCTGTGTTGCCCGTTGCCCTCCTCGTCGCCGGTTATGGTAATGGCATAGAGGACAGCGGCTACAACGCCTGGGTGGGCAACATGCACCAAGCCAATGAGCTTCTTGGTCTGATTCACGGCGCCTACGGTCTCGGTGCTACCATCAGCCCCCTCATCGCATCTGCCATGGTGACCAAGGGACACCTTCAATGGTACACGTTCTACTACGTCATGATAGGTATGGTTGGCTGTGAATTTGCTCTTGGTATGCGGGCTTTTTGGTCCCATGACGGTGCGTCCTATCGTAGACGACTAGCATACGATAACGAGGGGAAGGAGCGCATCACCACACGTCATGTCCTCAAACAGCCGCTCACCTGGGTCGTGGCCGTTTTCCTGCTCGGTTACGTTGGCGTTGAAGTCAGTCTCGGTGGCTGGATCCCGACATTTATGATCAAAGTCCGCCATGCCGAACCATTTCTAGCTGGCCTGTCAGTAACCCTATTTTGGCTGGGCCTGACACTTGGCCGTGTCATCCTGGGTTTCGTCACTGGCCGTGTTGGCGAGAAGCTTGCCATCACTGTGTATATCCTCCTCAGCATCGCCTTACAGTTGCTGTACTGGCTTGTACCAAATTTTGCCGCGTCACTTGTCTTCATCGTTCTTCTAGGCTTCTTTCTCGGCCCTCTCTTTCCCGCGGCCATTGTGACCGCCACCAAGCTGCTTCCACCCGAGTACCATGTTAGTGCAATCGGGTTTGCAGGCGGCTTCGGCGGAGGCGGGGCCGCCATCATTCCATTTGGCGTTGGTGCCATTGCTCAGAGCAAAGGTGTTTCTGTGCTACAGCCCATCGTTTTGGCTTTTCTCATCTTCGATCTTATTGGGTGGCTGATCATGCCCGGAGGCTTTAAGAAAGGTGGATTGAGGAAAGCACGCGAGGAAAAGACACCTGTTGGAGGCGATTTTGTGCAGGCCGGCAGATGGGTAGCAGCAAAGGTACGCAGAAACTAGCATATACCTGAAAGTGGCTTTAGCGAAATATACGATCATTCTGTACATCAGCGAAGTTTAGTTTGAGTTTCAAAGTGACCACTTTGGGAAGTCGCCGATCGCTTCCCTTATTCTCTGAATGATTTTCTTATTGATCCTGTAGAAGTCTGATAATATTTTCTGTTTTCCACCCTGTTAAGATGATTCACGCTACTTCATCAAAGTGTCGCGATGATGAATATGGTCAAGAACAGTTTCAAGTCCCCATCAGCCGCGCACTGTTTTATTCTACTTGGCGCCTCAAGATTAACCTGTGCAAACACTCGCCGGGCAGCCATATCCTTCACTCCTCACACTGGTCCAAGCATCTGGAGCTAATTAGATGAAGAAGCTTTACCTGTAGATAAGGGGAGACGCAGAAACTGTTGTATGACGACTCCACTTGACCGATGAGACGAAAAGTCATAAATAAAGTGTGCGCGTCTGGTCCGGAAATCTTTGAATTCAGTTTACATTCAATAGTCGCTAGAAATCCAGTCTAAAACCCCATTCATTGTGACTGATGTTTCCTCGTAGCACGAACGACCTCGGCACCCTTCGAACGCAGAGCGCACGCGATACCAGAATTTTGGCGGGGCCGAGTGCGGGCAAACGTTCAACGGAGCCCACCATCTATGTGGTCATGACCCAGCACGTAACGTCCAAGAATCTTTGACGTCTACCTTCTTTCCCGTAACACTCCATCGTTATTGAACTCCTTCAATCGCTCTCACAACAGGACAGCTCCAAGTCGCGTAACACTCCCCACGTCGCTTAACCATATCCCGCTCCGAAATCTGGATTCAAGGCTGGGATGCAGCCGGCTTCGAGACGCTCGACAACGAGCGCGGCCCAAATCGTAGCTCTCGCACCGCTCAAGCCTGACCTCTGCGAACGTGCCTGGCAGACAGTTGCGCACCCGACGCTTCCTCTCATCGCCACCGTCCACGGCAAGGGTGTGACTGTCTTCTCGCTAGCGACGCTCTTCTCTCACAGCAGCCTCATCGGCGGGCACACGCGGTCCGTCCGCTCCGTGGCCTGGAAGCCCAACCTAGCCCCGCATAAGCTCTGCCTGGTCTCAGGCAGCTTCGACTCCACGGCTGGTGTCTGGCGTTGGGACGGCGACCAAGCCGGCGACAGCGAAGCGGCGCTCGAGCGGGAGGTCACTTCTGCGCACACCCGACACGGCAACGACGACGGCAACGACAACAATAGTCAAAACGCAGACTCGGGCGAAGACAAGGAATGGGAGTTTACTCTCGTCCTCGAGGGTCACGACTCCGAGATCAAGTCGTGCGCTTTTTCGCCATCGGGCGCGCACTTGGCCACATGCTCGCGTGACAAGTCCGTCTGGATCTGGGAAGACATTGGCGCTTCGGAGGAGGATGACGAGTGGGAGACGATCGCGGTTCTAAACGAGCACGAGGGCGACGTCAAAGCCGTGTCGTGGTGCCCCGACGTGCCGGGCCGTAACGCTCGCCGGCGGTACAGCCCGGACGTGCTGGCCAGCGCCAGCTACGACAACACGGCGCGCATCTGGCGCGAGGACAACGATGGCGAGTGGGTGTGCGTTGCCGTGCTCGAGGGCCACGAGCAGACTGTCTGGGGCGTCCAGTGGGAGTCGCGCCCACGCCCCGGCGACAAATTCCCGCGCCTGCTGTCGTTTTCGGCCGACGCCACCATACGCATCTGGACGCTCAAGGAAGACGAAGAATGCGACGGCGGCGAGCAGGGCGGACGCAGCGCCCTCGGCGGGATCCCCAACACGATGCGCCGATCGCTGCGCGAGGAGTGGGTATGCACCGCTGTCCTGCCAGCTACGCACCACCGCGATATTTACGCCGCTGCGTGGAGTGCGCAGACAGGCGTTGTGGCCAGCACAGGCAGCGATGGCAAGATTGTGATGTACAGGGAAGAGTTTGAGGCAGAGGCTGCTACAACAACGGTGGCGGCAGGGCCCGACTCCGATCAACCCATGACGGACGGGACAGAGGAGCAGTCACTAGCTTTGCAACAACCTCCATCAACGCTTCATGGCTCAGCGAGGTGGAGCATAATTGGCACGAAGGAAAATGCCCATGGGCCGTACGAAGTCAATCACATCATGTGGTGTAAGCGATACGACGGCGGTGCAAGTGCGAGAGGCGAGGAGGAAATGCTCATCACAACAGGTGATAATGGCATTGTCCAACCATGGGGGGTAATTTTAAACCAGGAGTAAAGAAGCAGATACCAACAGCATAGGGAGGTGTAATATGTTGAATTCAAAATATAATGGTGCTTGCAATTCGAAACGGGGAAAGCAATATACGTGCCTTTTACATTTGACGTGTGCAGCCATTTGACATTAACAAGCGATATCATCAACAAACCCTTTACTCCGCTCATGCACAATGCATCACATACAATGGCAAGTGATTTCTTTATTCTCAAGGAAGGGGTATGATACAATGTGGTACACAGAGGAGATGACTCCCTCCCCTGAAAGGTTAGCAGTGAAAGCTCCCTTTTCTTATCTCTATTTGCATCAACTTCTCTGTCCTTCAAAAGCATCCGGCTTTGACCGCATCTCTTCCAACGCGGTTGGGTATGCCCTTTTTTCATTCGCCCTTGAGCTTGTCCTGCTTGACAGTAAAGGCCATCTCGAGCAACTCCTTCTCTTCCTTACTGTGGACGTGTTTCAAACCAGTAGCAACGGATGCGCTGGGGCTACGGCCAGCATACATGACGTGTTTGCGGTCGTGGTACTTGGTCTGGTTGAGCAGGGTCTCAATACGAGGTTGGGTGAAGCTCCAGGCACCGGCGTTAAGGGGCTCCTCCTGAGCCCAGACGATGGTTTTGGCGTTGGGGTACATGTCGAGGTTCTCCTTTAGCTGTTGCCAGGGGAAGGGGTTCAGCTGCTCGATGCGGGTGAAGGCAACATTATCAATCTTGTTATCAGCACGGTACTTGTGCAGCGCAGCCCAGACCTGACCAGTGCAGAGAATGACGCGATCAATCTCCTCGGGAGATTTGATGGCGCCAGTCTGGTGCTCGGGGTCCGGAATAATCCATTGAAAACCAGCATCCTCGGCAGTGAACTCTTCCAGGCTCGACCGAGCGAGAGGATGGCGGAGGAGAGACTTGGAAAAGAAGATGATGAGGGCTGTCGATTGTCAGCATTGTCGGTAAAACTGGTAGAATTCACTTACGCTTGCGGAACTGGCGCTCCATCTGGCGACGCAGAACGTGGAACAAGTTCGCAGGAGTAGTCATGTAAGCGATCTGCATGTTGCAGTCCTGGTGCTGGCGAGCGAGCTTGTCCTTGGCAGGGAAGACACGCGGATCCTCGTTGGACAGCTGAAGGTAGCGCTCGATACGAGCAGAGGAGTGCTCGGGTCCCTGTCCGTCGTAACCGTGAGGCAGAGACATGACGATACCGCTGCGCTGCATCCATTTGACCTCACCAGAAGCGACGAACTGGTCGATGATGCACTGGGCGTTGTTGGCAAAGTCACCAAACTGGGCCTCCCACATGACGAGGGCGTTGGGAGATGACAGGGAGTAGCCATACTCGAAACCAAGAGCACCAAACTCACTCAGGGACGAGTTGGCGATAACAAACTTGCCCTGGTCCTTGCTGATGTGCTGAAGAGGCGTGTACGTAGCCTCGTTCTCTTGGTCGTGGAAGACGGCGTGGCGCTGGGAGAAAGTGCCACGCTCAACATCCTGGCCGGAAACACGGACATGGTAACCGTCGGTCACGAGAGAGCCGAATGCCAGGGCCTCAGCAGTGGGGAAGTCAATGTTCTTACCCTCGACGACCGACTTGGTACGATTGTTGAGAATACGCTTAAGGTTGCGGTGGACGGTGAAACCTTCGGGAGCAGATCCAATAACCTCACCAATATGCTCGATAGTCTTCTTGTCAACGTTTGTGGGATTGTGAGGAAGGATCTCAGTGGCCAGCTCCTTGGGAGACTTGAAGCCGTTCCAGGCAGAGGTGGTCCATTCCTTGGACGTGGCGGTATAGTCCTTGGACTTAGCGAAGCTCTCTTCGAGCATGCCCCAGACCCACTGCTTGTGCTCGTCGATATCCTCCTTGGTGAAAGTGCCTTCCTTTAGCAACTTGTCAACGTAAACATCAATCTGGGGAACCTGAGAGTTGATGCGCTTATACATGAGAGGTTGGGTGAACGAGGGCTGATCAGTCTCATTGTGGCCGTGCTTGCGGTAGCAGATCAAGTCAATCACGACATCATGCTGGAACTCGGCGCGCCAATCAGCAGCGAGCTGGCAGACGAAGTTAACAGCCTCGACATCATCAGCATTGACGTGGAAGACTGGGGCATCAATGGCTTTGGCGATGTCCGTGCAGTAAGCAGTAGAGCGAGCGAAACGGGGATCGGTTGTGAAACCAATCTGGTTGTTAACAACCAGGTGAATTGTACCCCCCGTAGAGAAGGCAGGCAGAGAATGAAATCCCAGACATTCATAAACAATACCCTGGGCAGCGAAGGCGGCATCACCGTGCAGGAGAACGCTCATGGCAGTTCGGTGGGACTTCTCGTCGTTGTTGTAGTGCTGGATGGCACGGGTTTTGCCCAGGACGACAGGGTCCTCAGCCTCCAAGTGGGAGGGATTGGCGACGAGAGAAAGCTGGACACGCTTGCCGGAAGGAGTAGGACGCTCAAAGTTCATACCGAGATGGTACTTGACGTCGCCAGAGCCCTCCTCGGCGGTATCAGTACCGCCAAACTCGCTGAAAATTGACTCGTTGGGCTTGCGGACGACATTGGAGAGGACGTTAAGACGGCCTCTATGGGGCATACCAATAACGATGTCCTTGACGCCGTAGTCAACACTGCGATCTATGAGGGCCTTCATACCGGGAACAAGGGTCTCGCAGCCCTCGAGACCGAAACGCTTGTCGTTGGGGTATTTGGTCATGAGGAAGGATTCGAAACTGGAACTCCAGATGAGCCGGTCGAGGATACGGCGCTTCTCATCAATGGAGAATTTGAAGGGCTGAGGTACCTCGAGGCGCTCGCGGAGCCAGTCGCACTTTTCACGATCGGGGATATGGATAAACTCGACGCCGTATGAGCCAGAGTAAATCTTTTCGCAGGCAGCAACAATTTCGCGCAGGGTCATCTTTTCGCGGCCTTCGCGCTTGAAGCGGGGCAAAATACCAGGGCCCAGGGTATATTCAGTATCCAGATCCTTCTCGGTGAAGCCGTAGAAATCGAGAGTCAACTCCTTAGGTTTGATGTTACCGAAACCTTCGGCGGTGTTTCTGATGCCAAGAGGGTCGATGTTGGCCTTGTGGTGACCACGAGCCTGGTAGGCACGCACGAGAAGCTGAACCATCAAGTGATTGGTGACATCGGAGCCATCCTCCATAACAAGACCATCACCAAGGCGAGGGACACCGCCGGTCATGTTGGGCACAAGATTGGGAGGAGGCTGGAAGGCCTGGGAAATGGGCATGTCGCCACTCTCCATGTTCTTGAAATATATCTGCCAGGAGACGTGGACACTCTTGGGATCCTTTTTCCACTGCATGTACATTTCATCAATGTAATTAGCAGTGCTGCCGGTAAGGAAGTTGTCGTTGGGGTCGGGGGCCGAGTGGGAGGCATCCGTCGTAGCATAGGTGCGACGAGACGCGAGGGTCAGGGAGCGGCGAGCGGCCGTGACGTTCCATGATGAAGGACGAGCGCAAGCAGCCGAAAGCGAGGAGATGACGGGCGATACTCGGGCGCCGCGAAGCAGCTGCGAGCTGGCTCTACAAAGAGAATTTCTCAACATGGTGTAATGAAAAGCCTCGCGCAGCTTCAGGAGACTTTTTTTGGGGGGGGCTGAGGAATAGACACAGGAGGAGGAAGTATCAAAGACGGCCGATGAGAGGCATCCCAATCTCGCGATCGTAGGATCGGGAACAAAGAATGGCTGAGTAAGTCTTTGAAGATGCGAGAGCTAGGAAGCAGAAGAATGAGGAATGAAGAATGAAGCGAGCAAGAGCTTCTAACAACGGGCCAAGCTGGAGGCTCCACGAAAAGCATGACGGGTGCACGGGAGTCAGTCACCTTGCCCATTTGGTGCGTCGCTGGGAATTCTGGGGTGGCGCTGTGGCTGGGGCACTGTGGCACTTCGGTCCACTGGGGGCTACGAAAAGGCTGCGTGCGACGCTTGGTGCCGTGCTACGGTGCGCTACCCGAGCACCAAGCCAAGAAACCCAGCGGAGCTATTTACATTTTCGGACGCGTCAGGAGCCTTGCTACAACCTAGGTACGGAGTTATTGTTCTGTCATCTACAGTAGCCAACTTCTTTCCTCCACTGGCTGCAGTGCGCGATTTGCACACGGCCAGCCAAACCAAGCCAGTGGCCATCAACTCGCCGTCTTCCCGGGGACTCTCTCCTCCTGGTTACTGGAAAACAGTGCGCGTTATTGAGGGCTAGACTGTAGACTACGTGTTTTTCCCCACGTTTCATACAGTGTCAGAATTTACGTATCGTTTCCGTTTCATTCCGGCCTTTCCCAGCTGTATTTCCTCCATCCCTTTCCAGCCCTTCCGTGAGCCACCTGCACCTGCAACCTGAGGCTGGTGACTGGATGGTTCGGCAGCTCGCGCAGTTGGCGCCACACACCCCCAATCCCACCTAAATGCACCTGTCATTCACCCTCATCTAGGCGAATACTTTTGTTGGATTACTTCAATCATCATCACTGTGCATCGTTTGGGTCGACGTCAAAGCTCGTCACTTTTTTTTTAACAGGACATCGAACTCGGCGACCAAATTTACGCCCTCTTCAGCCGCCGCTCCGGTTTTCAATCGACAAAGTACCCCGAGGCAGAAACTTGAGGCCCTCACGAGACCTCCCAGTCGCAGGAGCTCACATACGCGCATGTCTGTGCCGTGAAGTAGATTGAGTCAAAGGTAGGCGCCGTCAGGCACTGTCAGACACTGCCAGTGCCTACTCCACGCTGCCATGGCCACAACTCCAGCTGGCCGTACTCTGTACAGAAAGAAAGACGGCATCTTAACAATAACCTCTGATCTTCAAACCGTCACATGGACACCCAACTCTGGAGGTCCTCCCACTGTGTCGTTGCCCGTGCCCAAGATAACTAGTAAATCGCTCCAAAATCTTCCAAGCTCCACGTACATGCTTGCTGATCAAAGATGTGCAGATTTGCAGCAGACGCCAGATGGAGCTCCCAAGGTGATGCTCAAGATTTTCGAGCAGAGTTCCAAAGGCGGTGATGCTATTACATATCTCTTTCATTTCAACACTGACGAGGCCAAAAAAGAGGCAACCTCTTTCAAAGATGTACTCTCGCGATTGCTTTCAGAAGCGCGCAGTGTTGACCCTAGTGTTCCGCGCCCAGCTGGTTTATCTACGCCACAAGGGGCTTCTGGCGCTGGCGGCAGTGCCTCAGCAACAATGGCCTTCGCGAGTTCTGTCAATACACACCAGTCTTCGGCTCGCTGGTTCGACGACCAGCAGCTCAAGGCCGACATTGAGCTGCAGCGGTCGCTCATGAAGAAGGATTTGGGCCTCAACGAAACGTACATGGATGCACTCTCCACCAAGCCGGAATCTATATCCGTGGCCGCGTTCAACTCGCAGTTCTGGTCTACCAGAATAAATCTTCTACGAGCACATGCTATCGAGTCCAATCAGAAAAAAGGTCCCTATAATGTCCTCTCAACAGTTAAGCCACGAACAGTGGATGGGGAAATGAAATTGAACATCAGCGTCGAACAGGTCCAGATGATTTTTGCGCAACATCCGCTCGTAAAGCGCATATATAATGAGAATGTGCCAAAGCTATCTGAAGCCGACTTTTGGTCCAGGTTCTTCCTGAGTCGTCTATCAAAGAAGTTACGAGGAGAGCGCGGTACCGAAAATGACACCACTGATGCCATCTTTGACCAGTACGACATTAACGAGAACTTGCAACATGTACAAAGCAAAATCATGTCCCAGCAAGTCCCTCATATCATCGATATTGAGGCAAATGAAGAAAACCAGGGAGGATTCAAAAGCGGCAATGCCAAGGACGTCGAAATGCGGCCTAGAGCGGACATTCCCATTGTTAAAACACTGAACAGCCTCAGTGAGAAAATCATGGCAAATGTCGCGCCTTCAGATACTCCAAATGACGCCAGAGCTGAGTACTACAGGGACCTAGCGTTACGAGATTTGCGCGGTGATGCCCAGGAACATCGCATTATGCTTAGTGTGAAAGAGCAAAACAAATTCTTTGCAAAGCACGATTCCTCGCCATCCAGCAATATCAAAGACTTCTCGAAGCAAAATCCTGCCACCGTCTTGCTGAAAATGCAGGGCGTGTTCAAAAGGGAAGCTATCGATGCCACGACTGGCATGGACCTACAAGCGGCCATTAATTTCGACGACGGGAGTGACAGCGAGGAAGACGAACCTCCCAAAAAGAAGCAGAGCAGCTCACGACGCGCCATCATCGGCGCTGAAAAGGACGTCTTGAACGGCATCTTGCAGCAGCGCTCGCAAAAGTACGGCCACGCCTCGGACGCCAAAACGCCCATGGGTCTGCCCCCCATCATCGTGGAGCGATGCACGCTGACGCACGCCACGACCGTTGAGTTCCTGCACCAATTCTGGGACGCGTTCCTATCCGGCGACCCGGACCGCGCAGGCGAGCTGCAATACCTCGCTGAGTCGCTCAAGCGCTCGACTAGCCGCATCCAGGTCGTCGCCGACAACGCCGCCGCGGACCGCGACGAGACCATTCGCAGAACTAAGCAGGAGATCCGCGATCACTTCGAGAAGACGGGCAAGAAGATCCGGTGGAAGTCGGACATGGTTGGCGGCGGCCGCGACGCCGTCATCAAGATGATGCAGCCCACGCTCAACGCCCTCGCAAAGGCTCAGGCCGATTACGCGCGAGCGCTCGCTGCAGAGGGCGTGCAGATATCGACTGAAGCATAATTTGGCGTTTTGTGAGGGGTCAAAACAATGTTGTTGATTCCACAAAGCCATCAAGCCTCACCCAGCCAGGCTCGATTAATTGTATTTTAGTGAGAAAGGCGGCATTCTCTACTTCACTTCATATTCAATTAAATGGCTAGTCTCTAGCTGACCTGTGTCCGTCATCTGTACTACTGTAACAAGCAACGGCTGTTCGCCGCGCAGCCCTATCAATATAGAAATGCAAGAGTCGAGGCCGATGCCACTCTGATGCATGCGTGTCATATGTACATTCCAGATCATTGTACTTTTGTTTCCTCACTGCCTCACCTGCGAATGCGCGCTTCGTGCGCATCCGTAAGGAGCTTCTCATCCAGGATGCCAAAGCCCATCGACTTCTTCTTGGCTCGCCTGCGATTCCCGAACTCCTCATCAAACTTGCGAATCATCTTGAGCGACGTCATGTCCTCGCTGATGCTCGCCGGGATCTGCTTCAGCGCGTTTTCAAAGTGCTCCTTGCGCAGGGTGCGCTTTTCGGGATACTCAAAGGGCTCCGGACCCGTGTACTTCATGGCCATTTTATTTTCCTCCTCCACGGCAGACATGGCAGCCGCCACGCAGACGTTCTTCAGATCAGAGCCCGAATAGTACTGTGTCTGTTCGGCATAGTCATCTATGGAAACGGAGCTATCCAGCGTCTCATCGCGAAGCAGCAACCTGAGGATAGCGGCACGGTCATCTCGCAAAGGAAGATCGACAAGGAGCTTTCGCGGAAGCCGACGAAGAACGGCGTCGTCTAGGTCAAACGGCCTATTGGTTGCGACCATAATGAAGGCATTCGTTTCCTCCATGCCATCCCACTCCTTCAGAAATTGGTTGATATGCTCACGATGCGAGGGCCGGTTACTAAACATGCTGCGACTGGCAAGCAGCGAGTCTGCTTCGTCGATAAAGACAACACAGGGCGAGTATTTTTTGGCAAGGGTGAAAACCGCGCGGATCAGCTTTTCGCTTTCGCCAACCCACTTGTCATTGATTGTGGCGCCGCTAATCTCCAGCATGTTCGCACCGCTTTCCTTGGCCACCGCTTTGGCGAGCATGGTTTTACCAGTTCCAGGAGGTCCGTAAAGCAGACAGCCTGGTATCTTGTCTGCTGCCAGGATACCATATGAAAAGGCGTCAGGCCGTACCAGTGCCAACGAGGTAAGAAGCTTTAGGGCGGTGATAGTCTCGGGAGGTACATGTACATCCCCAAAGGTAGTTCGTAGGTTCTCTTTGTTTATGAGGCCAGATTGTATGCGTTTCTCGTATTCATTTAACTTGGCTGGGGCCCTGGTTTCCGATTTGACGTCTTCATTTGAACCTTGGCTTTCACTAGTTGATGAGTTCCGATCGTGAGCCTCGTCATCCAGGTACTTCTGGCCTGATAGCGGGCGCAAGGGCCCCATGATGAAACGCTCCATGAATGCGCTGCGAGCAGAGCTCTCCATATCCCCGCTGTTCGAGTTCAATGCCTGCGCGAGATGATATACTTCAGGAATTGGCAGAATACCTCCTCTGAAACTAGACGGCTGTGTATTGGCAGAGCGCAAACACTCGAGCAAAGCCATCTCAACGGATTCCGCGCTGACATGGCTGTTTGGTTGAAGAGCTTGCATCATTCGTTGAATGTTGTGAATATTTTCGAACAAGTAATCCGTAGTCTGCAAATCAGCGGGAGATTCGCCTTGCATCTTCTTGCAAGGCCTAATGTTATTGGCTCGATTGAGCTGTAGATGACGACTAACAACAAAGTCTCCAAAAGCCAGATCGCGGACAGCATTCTGATAATCGTCTGAGGGAGTTTCACTCGAAGATGTGGCAAAAATGGCGATCTGAACACCATTTTGCCATGCAGTATCGACGAGAGCACGTATACGAGCTAAAATGAATGATCCTTCCAAGGTCATGGATAGTTCAACGACATCGTGGAGATGTAGCAGCACTGGCCGGCTGCTTGCTGGTTCTTTGATTTTGACGGATTGAATAATTTGGTCCAATATTTTGTCAATCTTCAATGAATCCCATTTACCAAAGCAATCAAACCCGCCTTGCTTGAGCTTCTGTAGGTCTTCTTCTAGATTTCCTGCTGCTGCAACACGTGCGCTCAAAATCGATTCAGAGTCCATGTCATCGTCTTCGGATGACTGTCGATTGGCAAATTCCGGGTCCTGAAGCAATTTGCCGTTGAGTTCAGCCGCGCGGAAGCCCATCATAGACAATGCGCCGCGGGAATACGCCCAGTGCTGGCCAATATATTTTCCCACAAGAACAGATAGATCCTGGGCGTCCAGGTGTATTAAATCAAAGCCCCCATGAGCGATCTGTGTGGCAATCGATTGCGCAATGGCTTTACCGCCATATCCAGACAGCGATAAGATATTGAGAGGGCGCTTGCCAGTCTTGGCATCGAAATTTGACGGCGCTTTCGCATTAAGCTCACGCGTGACAGCGCTTTGTATCGCCACAAATGTATCTGCATGGAATCCGGCCAGTGCATGTGAAAGTGATATATCCAGGTGTTCTCCAGCAGTGAGATTGTGGTCAAGTGATACACCAAGAGAGACGAATTGGTCGCGAAAGGTATTGCTCCGGTGGTCAAAATCTCTGTGGATATGCCACCACCAGAACGGCCTTTTCTTGTATATATATTCTGCTTGGCGACCAGGATACAGAGCATCGGTCAGATGCCATGAAGCGTCCAGTATCATGTTCCATATTCTGACTACTTTGGCAATCTTCTCTGGGGCCTCCCATCTGGTCTTGTCTTCCTCTGTTTGACATTGTAGAAAGTCGGTAGCTAGTTCGCAATGCCGTAGAAGGAGTTTTTCGACAGCGGTTTCGAAGTAATTTTGAATGGCTTCATTCGAGCCGTGGACATCGGTGCTCGGAGTAAGGAACAGACGAGATATCTTTTCACGCCTGGCATCTTCTGCTAGAGCTGGCGGAAGCCGAGGCTGGCTTGCTTCGTCATGTATTGTAACATTTCTTTCCAGAAAGCTGCGCGGCAATTCGACAGGAGGCAGGGCAGAGGCTGGCCTGCGACGAGTCTGTCGACTTCTGGATGAATTCGTAGGTGTTGCCCTTGATCGTCCACTAGAGGCTTCTCCGCTACCTTGCACCTCAACCTCGCCATCGTGTTCGGCTGCTGGTTCTTCGGACGGCCGGCCGCCGCTACCGATACTGCTGAGATGGCAGGCTGACGCATGAAGTTGGCGATGCAAACCTCGGCCTCCCTGCGCTCCAGCAGCGAGCGCACCTGCTAGGGCAACTCTGAGGCGCGGGAAGTGCATCTGAGCGGTGAGCCGCCACCAGCGCAGGTCGCGTTGGGGCCGAATTAAGAATGCTCGCGAGCCTATGAGTTGAATGGCCGGATCGATTTCTTTTAGGTATCGATTGTATTCGGCTGGCTTTGCTAGTGGCCAGAATTGCATGGCATGGTCGATCTGATAAAATAAATTCGCACACATGGGTTGGATTACGTGAGCGAGTCCATACTGCTCAACGTCTGGGCCTGTGGAACAACAACTTGGTTCGACTGGCTCCATGGCAGATGCGAAGCGATTTCAGCGCGCTCTTATTGGTTTTTTTTTTTCCCACAAACGATCTATCTGTACTGTCCTTGCTTACCTGCGTCAAGCTGACTCGAAGGTAAGTTCTCTTCCTAACTAGACGGTGGCTACACATTCGTGCCAGTTATTTGGTGTGCAATTCCACCGAGTTACTGTTACTGGTGGATACTTGAACCTGAACAGCCAGGAAAGGTATAAGGAGAGTACATTAAAGCAGGTCATGGATTATACCCCCGAATCAGTCAATGCTGCTCACAATTGCGCTTGGTAACACACAGGTCCGGTTCTGACTGGAAAAAGAGCCATCGCATCGCAATCGCTTATGGTTACTCGTTCGCAAGCCTACCGGGTATTAAAGCAAAAATAGCAAGCCATGAGTAAGGTCTTTTCGCTGGTGATGATTTATTAGTCGCGACCCACCACTTCCATCATGCACCAGTCGAATGGAACTTGCCTAATAAGCTAGGCTAGTGGGTGCGGCGAATGAACAAGAGCAGCCTGTCATCATGAAAGCTCGGCCTCGTTGTCAGCTCTCAATTTCTGCGCCGTTCACAAGAGACCGCTATCGTACAGCCGTTGACAGGAAAGCAGAGTCAGCAAGTCCAATACAGCCTTCAGCTCGTGTCATGCCATCTGACCGTAATTGGCACTACGCCCTACTTCGAGAATGAAGCTCCGAGTAACCGATCCAACTGCGTGGATCACACTCGCCACTGACAGCTACGCTTTCCAATACCTCAAGCAAGCATGAATATTTCCCCAGACAAGCATCTCTTGAGCCCCGAACGCTTGCATAATATCGACGATGTCGCCGGACGGCCGGTCTCATTTGCCCGACAAGCCGTTTCACAGCAAGAGACCACACAGAAAGACAAGGGCTGGCTGTGTCAACTGCAAAAAGCGCAGAACCAGTGCAATGAAGGCAAGCCCAGCTGCAGTGCTTGTCTGAATAGGAGAGAACACTGCGAGTATCAACAGGCGATGCTTCTGCGGGTCCCACAGCAGCACCCATATCAACAGGAAACACTTTTACGGCGCCGTCAGCAAAGCCCTCCACGACCTCATCCGCTTTCACTTCCGCCGAGTCATCTCGAGGAGTTTCGACGAGAGTTGTTCCCGCTACCAGAGACAACTTCGACCCCGAAACAGCTTCAGCAACAGTCATTGCCTACAGGACCACTGCCGCCCGTTCTCTCACTGCTTCAGCGACTTCACCAGTCCTTCAAAAATCAGAAATTCATAGAGACCCAGAAGCTGAAACAGCTTGCGAATATGTCTGAGTTTGAGAGCGCTGTCTCAGGACATCTCCAGAGTTACCAGCCCCCTGTAGACTGCTTCAACTCGAAACAAGTGGACGCCATATTTGCAAAGCTCAAGGATGCACTATGTGCGTTACTCGACAATCTAATCGGCATACGGAACGTGCGTTCTTTCGACAGCCAAATGCGGTTGCATCCATTTCACATACCGCAATGCTCGGATCTCGAGACCCAAGGGCATTTTTTGCAGCACTTCCAGTTGCACACTAGCACGTCATTCAATGTCGATCCTAGAGACAGGCGAGACTCTGACAGTATTCTCAGAGAGACTACCATTCGCTGCAGCTTTGAATTGACATCTCTCATGAACTGTGTATTGGCATTATCGGCTCTCCACATAAAACAAGGGAAACTTCGGGAGATCCTGCCTTAATATCACAATTGGCTACTGAGTACTCCCGTACCTCAACGACCAGTTTCTAGCCGACGTGGAAGTGGCCGACCCAGATATGTTCCCGCATCTGGTGGTTGCCTCCCTTCTGATGACGGCTATATCATCAGAGCAGTTCAGAGATGAGCATTCGGAGTTCGACCTGTTCATTGTCAATTGAATAAAAATCTGGGGCGGAATTGGTATCATGATGGACCGCATCACAACCCCCCGCCTCGTAGAATGCGGTCTTTCGAAGTTGTTTTACAGACCGCCACTCGACCTCAAAGCCGCTGACGAGCATATTCCTCAAGTGCTCAGACAACCAGTGGATGATTTCCCCGATGCTCAGTACCATGATGTCTACGACGTAACAGTACGCTATCTTGGTACGCTGTATCACAATTTGAAAATGGGACTCAGTCCAATGATGAAGTATCATAACATGGATCACTTTCATCCCGAAACAATTTGTTCAGCTTGCGATGGAGCGGCACTGGAGAGCCCTGGTAATTGTTGCGCATTATGCTGTATTCTTGAAGCCCACGACTCGGGTATGGTGGATGGAGGAGGTCGGTCAAAGATCTATCAAAGATGTGGTTACCTGCCTCGGGCCATCGAAATCGCTTCTCATCCAAGTGCCAATCGCAGCATTGGAGACCGAAGATTTTGATCATATCGGTCGTTTGCTCTTAGCCGATGGATCCTGGGAACATGAATCATCAACACGGGCGTTCAGTCCAGGGGAAATGCTCTCCTTCGATGCTCGCGACACCCACGTTGACGACAGTGGAGGAGCCATCGTAAACCGGGAATTCTGATGTTGTTTTCATTAAGAATGTGCAAGGAGAGTTTGACCTGGCGCGAGCCCTCCCAGGAAGAATTGAATCAACCGAAATGGCCAATACAAAATGCTTTCGCTGCTGCATGATGCCCGAGAACTGTTGTTGCTGCCTCGATAAGAGAACGAAGCAGGCCTAGTTTTCACTTGTTTGTTAGGCAGATAATCTATAGACTTCATGTCTTTCATTTACCGCGGTTTGCTCACCGCGGTTTGCAATGATAGAAAGTGCCTAATTTTAGTTACTATAAATACAGCGGTATAGCAACCGGCCTCGGACGTATGACAATTTGCCATGCAGACCCTAAGTCGCAGCGCGAGTACGACTTCGATTCTGAAGCTTCTCTAAGCAGTCGCGATTGCACAGGCAATGATTCAAAACTCGGTGAAAAAATATATGTTAACAAAGGAAACTCCATTCAATACAAGAGGAATTTTGTTGATTTCTTGGTACACAGCCCACAAAAGAGACTACTTAAAGGAGCTTTAGAAGAAACCGCGCCGGCTTCCGTTCCTCTGATCTATACACAAGCCCGTCTTCTACACCTCTGGTATTATTATAGCAAAGGTCGCTTCTTAGTTCTTCTCCAAATCGGCAAGGATCTTCTCACCCTTCGTTCTGGCGGAAGCCAGATCACCCACCATGTAGAAGGCACCCTCAGGAAGGTTGTCACCCTCGCCAGTCAGGATAGCCTTGAACGAAGCAATAGTGTCCTTGAGGTCAACGAGAACACCCTCAATACCAGTGAAAACCTGCGCGACAGTGAAGGGCTGGCTCAGGAAACGCTGAATCTTACGGGCACGCTCAACGGTAAGCTTATCGGCCTCGGAAAGTTCGTCCATACCCAGAATAGCAATGATATCCTGGAGACCCTTGTATTCCTGGAGGATCTGCTGGACACGAGTGGCGGTGTCGTAGTGTTCCTGCCCAACGATACGGGGGTCGAGCATACGGGAGGTAGAATCGAGAGGGTCGACAGCAGGGTAAATACCCAGCTCGGAGATACCACGGGACAAGACAGTAGTAGCGTCCAAATGGGCGAAGGTAGTGGCAGGGGCGGGATCAGTCAAATCGTCAGCAGGGACGTAAACAGCCTGGACAGAGGTAATAGAGCCCTTCTTGGTGGTGGTAATACGCTCCTGCATACCACCCATGTCGACAGCGAGGGTAGGCTGGTAACCAACAGCGGAGGGAATACGACCAAGCAGGGCGGACACCTCAGAACCGGCCTGGGTGAAACGGAAAATGTTGTCGATGAAGAGCAGCACATCCTGGCCTTCCACATCACGGAAGTACTCGGCAATGGTAAGGCCAGTCAGGGCGACACGGGCACGGGCGCCGGGGGGTTCGTTCATCTGACCGAAAACCAGAGCGACCTTGGACTCGCCGTCGAGCTGAATGACGGAGGTCTCCTGCATTTCGTGGTACAGATCGTTACCCTCACGAGTACGCTCACCGACACCAGTGAAGACAGAGTAACCACCGTGAGCCTTGGCGATGTTGTTGATGAGCTCCTGAATGAAGACAGTCTTGCCGACACCAGCACCACCGAACAGACCAATCTTACCACCACGGGCGTAGGGGGCGAGCAGATCGACGACCTTGATACCGGTGATCAGAATCTCAGCGGAAGTCGACTGGTCGGTAAACTCCGGAGGCTCAGTGTGGATAGGCAGGAACTTGTCAGTCTTAATAGGACCACGCTCGTCAATGGGGTCACCAGTGACGTTGATGATACGACCGAGAGTGGCAGGGCCGACGGGAATGGTGATGGGGGCACCGGTGTCAGCAGCCTTGGCGCCACGTACGAGACCCTCCGTACCTGGATTAGCTAGATTAGCACAAGCTTATGCCATAGGAAGATGTTAAAACGACGTACCATCCATGGCAATGCAGCGAACGACATTCTCACCCAAGTGTTGCTAAACATCATTATTAGCGGCAGGCTCCGTCAACTCCTCGATTCTATTAACGTACAGCGACCTCCAAAACGAGCTTCTGACCGTTGTTCTGTGTTTCCAGAGCGTTCAGAATAGGGGGAAGCTTGGCGGTGTCGAACTTGACTGTACAAAAGATTAGTATTTATAGATTCGCATCGGCGAGAGTGCAGTTGCAGTTCATCGCTGTCGGATTTCGAGACTGACCGTCAACGACGGCACCAATGACCTGTTTGTGGTTAGCCGTGGCTAGCTCGGAGCCTCGTTTTCGCGTGCATCAAGAGTTCTCACCTGGTAAATCTTGCCATCACCAACACCAGCAGTGCTCGCGAACCTGCTGTTTAGGGGGAATCGGATGGAAGCAGGTCGGATGGCGCGACGAGAAGCCGCCGTCGCGAAGGACGGGCGGGCAGCGCGGGCGAAGGAGGAAATGCCGCTACACGAGGAGGTCAGTCAGCTTGGTCGTCCCAATTGGCGCAACGGACGCGAGTGGACAGTGAAATGACGCTTCAATGGCCTTGAACGTACCTCTTGAACATCTTGCCAGATGACAGAGAGCGATCAGTGATGGGAGTGGAGAGAGATTGGTTGAACCTGGGGATAACTTTTGCGAGTGAGCAGTTTTGCTCCGGAACTGAGGACTTCGTCGGTTAGAGCTTTCTTACAAGTCACGTGCTACGCTAACCTGAAATTGTGTGCAGCGCTCCTTACAGTGCCAAAAAGTTCCGGGAAATCCCTCTGTAGAAACGAACACGATTTGACCAATTAAACTTATTTGCTGTTCGACAGACAGTTGAGCTATTAGTTTTACTATGCAGTAAAGCGTATTAAAGCGTGTTTATGAGTTTCTGGCTACATTTCTATGCAGCGCGCAGTTTGAGGACCAAGTCAAGATACATGTTATTTGTAGAAGTTTCGCCAGATTCGAAGTACACAGTGCGATTCCGAGAATCTCGGCGAATTTAGGGAGTTCCGATCATAATACCTTTGACCACGCTGCAACTCCCTTTATCCTGTGGTGCCTGAGGAATCTCTCTCCTGACAGCTAGCGCTAGCGCCCCTTGCCGAAAACCGAATGATATTAAAGGTATTATTTTCTCAATTGGCCGTGGCTGACCCGAATCTCTCGACTCGATTTGTTGAAAAAGCGGCCTCGACGCCCCTTCTCGGGCTGCGAAACCATTCTGGAATTAAATGAAGCTCAGTATCGATTATCAGAGGGCACCGGCATCCTCGCGCGCCAGAACCTGCAACAATTAGCACCATTCTCGTCGCCCACGTCTAATACGGCATGAACTTGAACTTACTATTGCCGTTCTGGTCGGAATGTAGACCTGCGTCCAGTTCTTTCGACCGTTCCATTCCATTGGAGTAGTGAAGAAGCGAATATCCTCGTCAATTCTGCTGTGACCACCAACATCTTTGCCGTCAGTCTGTAGGACAACCTTGTACGTGCCGGCTTCGTCGACACCAATTCGATAGTCGCTGAAGCTCTGATTCGGATGGAAATTGAACACGAAGACAAGACCAGCTCGTTCAAATACAATGACCTTGTCTCCTTCGTGCTTCAGGGAAATGTATGCCTGAGGCGCATGGAGCCATCCGTACTGTGATTCACAATTGTTCATCAGGCCATCAAATTTGTTCAAAAATTGATACCGCAGCAGATGATCTTCGGTGAGATTGAGCTGACGCCGAGCGTACCAGAATGAGTTTTGATTTCCCTCGCGAGGAAAGTCAAGCCACTCTGGATGACCGAATTCGTTGCCTTCAAAGTTCAGATAACCTTCGCCACCCAAGCTATGCGTGAGCAGCCGAATCAACTTGTGTAGAGCTATTCCGCGATCGATAACCGGAGTCAATGGCGACAGAGTAGACATGTTTGTATACATCTCGGCGTCGCAAAGATGCATCATCAATGTCTTGTCACCGACAAGACTGCCTCGTGTTAGTCACGCAGACTATAAGAAATGTGGCGACCACTCACGCTTGATCATGACTCTCGCAGTATGCAATAGTCTTTTCACCATGTCGTCGATTTGTTAAAGTGAAGCAAATGTTTGCCATGTCCCACTGCTCGTCTTGTACTTCCTTCAGGATCTTGATCCACATATCCGGAATTGCCATGGCCAGACGATAATCGAAGCCTACACCGCCAAGCCCTACTGGGACACAAAGAGCAGGCATTCCAGATACATCTTCAGCAATAGTGATACAGTCTGGATAGAAGGAGTGAAGCATCTGATTGGCAAGCATCATGTAGACGACAGCCTCTTCATCGACATCCTCTCCAAAATACTCATGGTAGCCTCCCGAGAAACCGCTGCCATGTGTTAGCTTACTGACGAGTAGAGAGAGGGTAGTACTCACGCCCCGATACCATGATGGGTGTATAGCATACTGGTGACCCCGTCGAAGCGGAAACCATCAAAGTGATACTCGTCCATCCAGAAGCGAAGGTTGCTCAGCAGAAAGCGCATGACCTCGTGGTGCCCATAGTTGAAAAGCCGACTGTCCCATTGATCGTGATTACCTTTACTGCCACCGTGAAAGTATTGATGATCGGTTCCGTCAAAGTTGTTGAGGCCATCCAGAACGTTCTTCGACGCATGACTATGCACAACGTCTAGGAGAACCACGATACCCATGCCGTGCGCCGTGTCAATGAGCTCCTTGAGATCCTCAGGGGGACCATAGCGACTGCTAGCCGCAAAGAAATTGTTTATTTGATATCCAAAACTGGCATAGTAAGCATGTTCCATGACGGCCATGAGCTGTATGACATTGTAACCAAGATGCTTGATTCTGGGCAGCATATGACGGGTAAACTCTTTATAAGTAGCAACTCGTTGCTCGGGTGTTGAAATTCCAACGTGAGCTTCATATACACGAGCACTGTCAGGCTTCTTCGGACGTGGATGCTTAAACTGGTACATCTCCGATGCGGGCGGGTTCCAAAAGCGAGCATCATAAACAGGCGACACGCTCAAATCTTGCGTGACATATTTGATCCAGGCGGGAATCCTGTCTACTCGTTCACCGGTTGGCAGAACCAAGGATATCTTGAGCTATTGTCAGTATTGCGTTCAAATATGTGTGGCAGTATTGGCCAACAAACCTTGACTTTGGAGTTATGTGGAATAGCAGGCTGACCAGCATTGGAGGGCACAACGATTGTGAAGGAACCCTCTGCATCCTTCGCCATCGGATGCGAGGTTTGGTTCCATTCATCTATCTCTCATGTCAGCTTGTGGGCTCGCGATCTTGTTTATCAGCTACAACTGACTGAATTCACCAATCAAGTATGCTTTGACGGCATTTGGTGCCCACTCTCTATATCGAATATCACCGTTAGAGAAGACGTTGAAACCAAATTTGTCGATCCCCTAAAAGTAAATAAGTCATCATTCTCAGTGTAGAATCGGCTGGTTAAACGACGTACCTTGGTGTAGCTATCCATGCCACCTTCTGAATCATTTATCTTCTTGATTCGGTCCTGCGTTTTGCTGAAACGGCGCCTGAGAGCATCGCTGAAAGGCTCTAGCCATGGATCCAACTTGATCACGCCTATGGAATGTTAGCGTAGTAAATCTCGAGATTGGTAGCCACGGACCGGTGCCATCAGTCGGCATGTCGGAAATTCCTGCGGTAGCTGGCATGATATCTGCAAGGCAAGCTCTGGTTAGCTACTCTCGATGACGCGGGGTAGGTAGCAACAGTAGCAGTCGCGATCAACAGTCGGCGGTGCGGACGCAGCAGTATTTCTCAATCAAAATTCCGAGTTCGCAAGATTGGCCGATATATAGACGACTATGGTGAGAAATCTAAATGAGCCACTTTGTGTTTTTTTTTCTCTTGGAAGGGTGAAGAAACAAGATTCTGGCAGAGGGGCAATTTCTCTCCTTGGTCGTGGCGCTGAGAAGACGGCCAGCGCTAGTCTAGGTACCTAGCTTTCACCTAGGCGACTGGTACTAGCAGGGCGCAGTTACCCACACGCCACAGGGCCACAGCAGAAAGCATCGACGTTACAATTCAATCGCTCAACAAATCCCCCCCCCCCCGTAGACAGTGTCTAGCCAGCTTAGGTAGCCTGTGGCCTATCGTGGCGAGTTTGCCGTCTATCTACGGATCCGTAGGGGCTACCTATGTCAGAAAATACCCCCCTCCCGCCTAGGTAGGTAATTATCAGCAACAAAAACGGTTGTGTTAGCGCCCCAGCTCTATTGTACCTAGGTATGTAGCAAAAACCCGCCAAAAATCCCCCCGCATTCTATTTCCACCGAGTGAGCTCGGAGCTCTCGACGGATGCGAGATCGGCGTCACCGCTGGCAAACCTCCCAATGTCAACACCAGGCAGAACCTATCCGCCAACGTGTTGGCGCCACAAACCAGGAGTTTGACCAACTGCCTCCCCTCAAACGATGACCCGAGCCCGCCTTTGACCCGAATAATTCAAGACATCGCTACGACGTTGCTTGGCGCACCTGACCACCCGTGACGCCATCGGCAACCACCGCATCCCACACCGTTAGACCGCCCAACCGGCTGCCATCCGTAAATCGATCGAACTTGGGTCAAGTACTCCAATATCATCCTCGAGTACACAATAGAATGCTTCGACCCCCTCAAACAGTATATTCGGTAGCCCTGGGCTGCCGGCGTCCTCGGCGACTGGCGTCGTACTCGGGCTGCGCCCGTTGCCTGTCGACCAGTGGCCCGGCCCTTGTTAGCAGACAAGCAGATATGAACTCTGGCTTTACCGGCACTTATGATCCTACGGAGATGTCTGGTCGCGGGCCCATGTTTAACAAACGACGATTTGGTGTGCCACAGTTTTATCCCCGAGACCTGAAAAGGCGGGTAGACGACTACGTTGTCGGCCAGGACCGGGCAAAGAAGACAATATGCTCCACCATATTCAATCACTATCAGAATCTGCGCCGAAGATATCAGCACATGCATGAGGAGGAAAATTTACGCGAAAAATCTATGCGACAGCGGTTCGCCCGTGATCGAGAGCTGCACCAGAAGCGTCGTGAAGCTCACCCTGTTGATGGTACGGCAGTCAAATACTCCACGTGGGACAGTTGATTCTAACGGACATAGACGAGTTTCCTGGACATACAGAATCTGTTCGAGAGCTTTACGAAAGCGACAAGTATGAAGCTCCGTCGCTAGATCACTTATACATCACCGAGGACCAAGCGTCCGGCGACCCTGTCAAAATCGACAAGAGCAACCTGCTCTTGATAGGACCTACTGGTGTGGGGAAAACATACATCCTAGAGTATGTATTCACATTTTATGAGTTGGGTTGAAAGCTGACAAGGACAGAACTCTAAGCAAGAAACTTCAAGTCCCCTTTTCCATCTGTGATTGCAACTCTCTAACGCAGGCTGGTTACATTGGTCAAGATGTTGAAACATGTGTGGAGAGGCTTCTTATAGAGGCAAATTACGACGTCAAAGCTACAGAGTACGGCATTATTGTATTGGACGAATTCGACAAGCTTGCCAGGCGAGAAACTTCTACAGGACGAGATGTGGGTGGCGAAGGTGTCCAGCAAGCCTTACTGAAGCTTGTAGAAGGCGCCAAAGTCACCATCAATGTCAAGGATAACCGATCCTCTCGATCTGCGCCGCCGATTACAACAAATTACACTGCGGGCGGCTCATCTAGCAGCACAGCTCAGGCTGCACCCCCGGCCGCCAAACTGGACCAGTACACCATCGACACTACCAACATTCTTTTCGTTTTCTGCGGCGCTTTTGTTGGACTAGATAAGAGCGTCATTCAGAGGGTTGCCAAACCCACTATGGGATTTGGCGGCGAAATTAAGGGGCGCACCACGCTCTCTGGTGAGCAACAGGCTCTACCTTCTGGACTTTACAGACACTTGGCCCACCATGACTCTACTTCGAAGTTTACGCCGATGGATCTTGCTACCCCTGCTGACTTGCAAAAATTCGGTTTCATTCCTGAGTTGATTGGACGACTGCACAACATCTGCGCTCTGAGCCCACTATCAATGGAAGATCTTTATCGAATTTTGACGGAGCCGCGCAACAGTCTTGTAGCGCAGTACACAGCACTTTTTGAAACATATCCGTCCCGCCTATACTTCACAGAAAAGGCACTCTATGCTATTGCCAACAGAGCATCGCATTCTGGCACAGGAGCCCGTGGGCTGAAGATGGAAATGGAGCGGATCCTGGGCGAACCCATGTTTGATGCGCCTATGCCTTATGTACTCATTACTGAAGGCTGCGTCAACGGCACAGAAAAGGCGGGTTACTGGGCCAAGGATGGGCGGTTCGAAGTGGATAGACGAATGGAAGAAGAGCAGCTCAATCGCAGTGCTGAGCCCATGGCCACCCTCGAACACCCACGAGAAGCCGGGCAAAGTGGTGGTTGAGACTATGCTGCTCAATTGGAGAGATCTGGATATACAAGGCATGGCCAGCCAATCTGTATATAGCGATGGCTACAAGTATCACTTTTGAATCCTTGAAAATGAGTTGTGTATTGGAAACAAGTGCTTCTTTTGATTCTGTCATTGTAATACAGTATTTACACCTCCCTCGACGGCTTCGCTCGACAATCCGCCAACAGATCTCCAAACGCTCCAGGCCCATGTTACACGCGAGAAAGATTATCGAGATTCCCACGACCTACAGATTCTTCTATGACAAAAAGAAAAATGATAGAGTGCGGCCTGCATATTTAATGAGTTCGTTTTAGTTGCCCTTGGGAGGAGACTGGACGACACCCTTGCCAGTGTAACCTTCCGAAGAGATACCAGTAATGGGGTTGGCGGTTTGGTTCTGCACAAGCTGTTAGTATATACGCTGTGAGGTGGAACAGCGCCCCTACAGGCGGGATGACATACGAGGAGGAATTCGTTGGACTCTTCCTGGTACTCCTTGGTCATGGTATAAGGAGCGGGCTTAGCTGCGAGGCGGATCGCAGCGAAGATGGCAATTGAGGCGCCAACACCGAGAGCGACGCCCCAGGCGATGCGGGCGTTGGTGCCGGGGGGGTCGGTGGCGCGGGGTCCATGGGGACCAAAGGCAATCCAGTAGGCTGTTGAGAGGGTTTGAGTTAGTTTTGGTCTGTTCAGATCGTAAAGTGTTGATGCAACACTAGCGCGCGCTGGACACCATCAAATCAACAGCCAATTGCCCGAATAGGCAACTATGCATGTATTATTCGAACAATATCAACCACCTGACATATTCCTCACGGCTTCTGAGCTAAAAGCGAAGTATTGCGAAGCGAATTGTTCATCGCGGTCGTCGTCGTTATTGGCGAACCCGTGGCTGGCGGCGTTTCGGCAGGTTGCTAAGCTCGGCAACCCGGGAGGTATTTTCAGGGAACCACAGGTAACATAGCTACAGCAGGAAGAGGACAGAAAAAGAGTACAACGCACCGGCCTTTTTCTCCTGAAGGGTCAGCTCAGACCAGCTACCCTTCATGCGATCACGGAGAGCCATCCACAGGTCGGCCTGCTCCTGAAGGGGCATGCCCTCCCATCTCTTCTCAATGTTCTTGAGCGTCGGGTTGGAAAGGGCCTGGGTGGAATAGGCACGGGGCGCGGCCCGGCGCAGCACATTCGTGGCTTGCGTGCGAAGCATTATGTCGAAGAAATGATAGGTCGATTATGAAGCCGAAATCGATGCAATTGGCGCGTTGGCCGTCGTGAGAGGTCGTCTTTCGGGATGAGCACGCGAAACTTGACTGAACTTGTCGAGAGGGCAATCCTAGTTATGACTTGCGATTTCTCACTCCCAGAAGAAGCTTCGCTCCACGGATGACTAAGGAAGCTGGGCTGATGCTGTCACGTGACGCGTGATGCAGAATCATGCGATGTCTCATTGGCCAATTGGTCTCGAGCTCGAACTGGCGTCACATTCATTCAGGCAGGACGAAGGCCAGTTCAGATCTTACGAGGTGGAATGTTCGTTCTATTTCAGCTATGGCCGCATCTAGCTGCAATTATAGTTTTATGATGAACTCTGCATTGGTTTCACTCCAATGACCTTCTGTGGCAAGGTGGCTATGGTCTGTCCTCGGGGAATGACGGGACCGTGTCCCAGATGAGCTCACGTATTGTGGCACCACTTTGTAACTACAGCCGCAAAATAATTCTGCTAGGGACTCAGTTTTCTGCTTCTTTCTGATCTGGAACCATGGGCCGCAAAGCACCTAAGTGTGATCTTTTAATGATAACAAAGAGTATGAATGCCAAACGCGACGCCACCACCTAGCCTTCACTCGGTGTTGAAGAATGCACCACTTAAGAGAACGCACAACATTACTAGCAGAAGCTGTGTAGTGCATACGCGCATCCGCAGGCTCAGCTTCTTCCATCTCTACGATACGGAAGGGCTTGGATATTTATCAACCTAAATGTTAGGCCAAATTGTGGCTCGGGGGTGGCCAAATGTGGAGTCGTACTGTGGCGTTGGCTCTGATTCTGCGCACTGGCACGGTAAACACCACGAGCACTTTATTACAGCACCACTAATTGTAGGAAATTCTGAAAATAATAAAAATAACATTGTCGCGTTCTCTGATCAATTCTCTATTATTTGGAGGAATCTTTCTCAACCAGGAACTTACCTGGTCCTGGAGGTCCTGCCACGCATCGTGCATCTGTTGTGTATTCCGATTGAATTCAAATTCGGCGTTCGCGCTTGGCTCAGCCACAATTTGGTCAAGCCCAACATCCCGACACGGAAGCATCGTAGTTACGCTGCTGAGGTCGAATTTCACACAAGAAAGGCGACCCAACATCAGCCGGATTCAATGTTGACGGTTCTGCTGCCATAAACAGGGAGCACGATGCTAGTTACGGCCTTTAGCTCGCCCCAAGGCTGGTCGCCGAACAAGCGACAATCCCATTCGACATGCCGCGGGTGTTTGCCACACCGATGCAAGCTCCGGTTTAGAGGTCGACATATAAGACCAATACTCCTGGGCCAGAGTCGTTACAAAGAGCAAGGGGGCTGCAGAGTGAGCTACAAATAAACATACACTACAGGCACTGCCATCAGCAGTGAAGGCAACATGACAGGGTGAGATGTTGTGCATTGTTAAGTCGCAACGAGGTTGTCGAAAGGGCAAACTGTCCCCTTCACAAGTTGGCAAAAGCGGAGTATCGCAGCTTAACATTGCGTGTTGGTTTTTGGAACTTCACTCGTCTTCTAACAATGGCATGGGAACGCAGGCGGGTGGGGCGCGACGACTGAGTAAATGCCTACCCAAAGTCATGTAACTGAGCTTTGAGTGCCACGAGATGGTGGACCGAGACAACCGTCAACCAACACACCAGGTCAGTTACCTTTAGGGGAAGCCCAGAGAATAAACCTTTTGTTGGACGCAAAATGTGGCCGCTTTTCACGCCCCCCTTGCACCTTTAACTCCCGCTCTCAGCTCAAGTCGCATTATCCCTGGGCACCATGGCATAGTCAACAAGATTGAGAAAGAATCCCTCGTGGTTTGCGTAGTCACTGCTCGGCTGTCAGTGGAACATTTTCTGTTTACCCGAACGACCGGCTGGCCTTTCAAGAAAATTCAAGCATTTTTTCTAGGTCGCCGCATTAGGCTCTGGGATGACAGTGCGGTATCTGTGCAATTCTGTGGCTGCGGTCTATCCCTCATTTGTGGTCTCGAGGTCTCTATTCTTTTCCATAAGTCTCTTCGGGTCTTTTTGTATATGGACTGTCGCCAAGGTTGCCCATAGCTTTTCTGGTCATCCTGCCTGTGTCATCCTCCAATTGGACTAAAATACCTTAGTACTGATAACAAATGCGAGGCCGCAATCGCAGTTGTCGTACGGCTCCTTGGTGGGCCCATCTGTCAATTACGCCGTGGGGCTACCCGCGGACTTTCCGGAGCCCACGGATTCTCCCTCATACACATCCACCTTTCCCTCATACACCTCCTCGAATCCGCGCCCAAAAAAAAAGTATTGACCGTATCTGTTTCCATTGTGGCAGTGAGAGAATCCATAGGGCAACATGGGGCGTCAGCCAAGACAGCGGCCCATCTCATGCAAGCTCTGCAGGCAGCGCAAACTGCGGTGCAGCCGCATCTTCCCCTGCTCTAATTGTACATGTCGTGGTATCACTTGTGAACATGATGGGCCTGGAACGGCGCAAGCGTCGGCGCCAAGATCGGGCCTCGCGCCTAATTACAGTGCCAACGCTCCCGTCGCCGTACCCGAGCAGGATGACACAGACCTGCGAATGACTGAAGGCGAGCAGTCGGTCGCGCCACCAGATGTGCCAAATGCCGAGCTGCTGGCGCGCCTCGAAAAGCTTGAGGCCCTTATCGCTGCTCAGAACAAAGAGGGCATGCTGAGTAAACCAGAGCCGACGAGCTATTCAGGAGCTCTGCCGCCAAATCAGTCCTCTGCTGTGGCGTCGCCAATGTCGCCACAACTTCAAAAGTTGACCGACGATGCGCTGTGGCTCGAAAGATCGTTTACAGGCCAATCTATGTTGGTATGTGTGTGACGCAATGGTTTCCGCTAGCCTCAAACTTGCATCCGCGGGTGTCATTGCTACTACGTGAGACAAGCTCTGGCACTCTGGCTTACACTAACGGTCTGTGTCTTGAACAGGAACCTCTTTGTGATCCAATATCTTTTCGCACTTGCCCAGTGCGCCGTATTGTCAAGCAGGGCAATTTCGTACTGCAAAGTGACCCTTCTGCACCTGCGTTTGGTTCGGGAGAGGTGACCAGATGTATATGGCTGCCCCGCCGCGACGAAGCTCGCATCATCGCGCACAAGTACATATCCGATGTCAACCACTTCCATCATGTGGTACACGTACCGACGTTGATGGACACTATCGAGCAGATATACGATTGCATTGACAGCAATACGACACTGGACATCGGGTTAATGACGCTTCTCCTCAGTATGTGCGCTGCCTCGACATATACGTGGTCGCCTCAAGACGATGCGCGACTTCTCTACGGAACTGTGGAAGAGGCCAGAGCTCAGGCGCTGTGGTGGGTGAAAGCTGCGCTCGATGTTATGGACCACGCGCAGCGTATTGCGCACTCCTCTTTGGAATGTATTCACGGCATGGTCATCCTTTTTTATGTCTTTTGCAACATTGAAGGCCTCTCACCACGCGCAAGGAGTCTCAACGCCCGCTCCATAACCATGGCCCGAGAACTGTCACTACACCGAGTTGATGCTCCCAGTAACCGCGAAATGTCCAGCACGGGCAGTCTCCGGGTCGAGATGTACAGAAGGACATGGTGGTTTCTTGTTGCCACTGACTGGTATGTATTCGCAGTCATGGTCTCCCGCCGTGGAACTAGCTAATGCTTCGCAGGATGGTCACACAGTTTGCCTTCCCTCAGGAAGGGTCATTCACTATTCATCCATTTCATATGATGGTACGCAAGCCATCCAACGTGAATGATGATGACATTGTTGATAGTCAACCTGTTATCGGACGCCCATTGACAGAACCAACGGATGCATCTGCCTTGATCTATCGCATTCGTCTGGCTGAGCTTTGCCAGAATATGCTTGATAAAGATCGCACATATGCCTTTCAGGCACAACCGGTCGATCACAAATTTGTCATGGAGATGGATGCCAAATTTAGGGTGTACCTGCGAGAACTGCCTGACTTCTTCTCCATGGACAGCACAAATATGCACACTCTCTCTCCGTCGGATCCTCGCCGTGACCCGAAAATCACGATTCAGCGCTACACGCTAAATCTTCTCATATACAGACACCTCTGCAAGCTGCATTTACCATTTCTCGCAAGAGGTTCTGTGGAGCAAGCGTACTCGTATTCATATCAAGCTTGCATGGCAGCTGCCAGGATGATCGTTCAGACCGAGAAGCACCTGAAACTTGAAGACCTCCCGTTTTCCAGCACGCGATTGAGGTCCGTTATTATCCTTCGAAGCGTGTTCCTCGCCAGTATTGCCCTCGTTCTCAATGCTTGCATTGGTAGGCAGACAGAAGAGACTCCTGCCAATGACTCGCATCTTGTTGAGGCTTGGCGTATCATGGATGATGCTAAAGATCAGTCGCCTGTGGGAGCAAAGCTTCTTGATTTGTCTGTTCAAGTCTTGAAGCGACATATGCCGAATCATCCGGCTCTCAAGATGTTTACAGCGCTACCCGCCACGATGCCAATGACACCCGACTCTGCAGGGCGAGAGGAGCAGCGCCGGAATATGCCGTTTCAAGGCTTCGTTCCTGAGCCCGAAGCATCATATATGGATCAGCAATGGCAAGCATTGGAAGGTCGTATGGACCTCAACACCATCGATTTCGATAAGCTGTTCTATGGACTGGAAGCGCCCTTCATCTAGTCGGACCAAACGATCATGTTCTTGTGTGAGATACTGTGTGCACTGGAATTACGCACAGCACAGACGCGCGTTATCTCATGACTACGACTGTTCATGCGTCGTGGTAGTCAATAATTACAAAAATGTATACTGTACACTTTATAGTGTGTGCAGGCATGCGCTCCTAGTACAAGTAGCCACCTGCCCTACAAGTCACCGCATAGTTTACCTAGGCACATGCCAACGAGTATTATGAAGGCTTTGCAGCTCGTGCTTTGGTTTCATCGGCTTTGGCATCCGCTCTGAATGAAGCATGTTAAAATCGTGAGTAGATGGGGTCCATCATGTAATTGCTTACCCATTAGAGTCGGTTGTTTGCGCTGTAACATGTACAGTTTTCTGTGGCTCCTTTGGCGTCAACATGGGCTGGAAGGTGTAGAAGCCTATGAAGTTGAATTAGCACAATTTTCACTGGAACTGGAAGTGACACCACAATAAAACGCACCACCAGCGACACCGCAGAAGACGGCCAATGCCAGGGGCAATGCTCTTTCCAAAGCACCACCCATTGTCAATCGAACTTCGATAGATTATGCTGTGAAGGTAAGAATGTAGCCAAGCAGGCGAACAGCATCGGGTTGTGAGAGGTCCAGGGTGGCCGAAGAGGGTGCTGGCCTTGCTTTCTTTGGCGCTAGCAAACCCCCCCACCAGCGCAACACCTTGCTTTAAATGGCCACTGACGCAAGACGCGTCTCTAACCACATAGCGCGTCTTCACGGTAACGGCGCGCTAAATTAACAAGCTGTTCAGAAAAGAGCTCCGAGCCACCTCTCCCCACTACTCTCGAATTGAGAGATGCATCAAAGATAACCAAAGTTGAACTTCTAGGATATCAATTCGCCAACTATATATCATGAAAGGCGACAATCAGCCATGGCAGACTGGAAACTATTGGGGGAAGTGCCAGACTCCGAGGACGAAGATGCGTTTGACAGCCAGGAACCGGCCACCGGTCTCGATTCAACGACTACGCATGCAGGCGCCATTCCAGAGATAAACCATCAGGACATATGGGAATTCATCGGTTCCCAGAAAGCGGCCGAACCTGTGCACAACCTACCGCGTCCGAATGGCTCACTCAGCTCGTCGCCTCTGTCGTCCGCCCAGAGCGTGGACGGACTGCCAGAGCTCGACACTATGTTCCTGGAGGGCAAGGAATCGGCGAGCAGGCTCGGAAATTTAGGTGAAGGACCGAACGACCTGAACATTTTGCGAACATACATCGACCCAGAAAACCACGCACCGACGACGTTAGCGGACCTCTCGCACTCCTCCAGCCCCAACCTAGCCGTCAACGAAGACGTTGCTTTACCGAGCCAGGATTTGGGTCTTCTGAAAAATGCGCATGATCTGCAGCGTGAATCTGTGCGGCTGGAACGATCATTAAGACCCCGCAAACCTATCCAAGAACACCCTTATCTTCTGGAGAATGCACAGTACAGTAGTCTCATTAGACAACACGGCATGCGTCCCGTCAAGATGGCAATGGCTCGTGCTAGGGCCGCGAGAGACGAGATTCCCCACGATGGTGAGTTTCAGGACGATAGCCAAGGAAACTCTCTGCCGGACCTGAGCAATTCGAGCCAACTGCTGCCCGGCAATGACACGGACGAGAGTGGAGATTTCGGTCTATTCAATATTCCTTCCTCTTCGCCACTCAGAACATCGCCGTGGCTCAGTCACAGACGATCTAGCAACCACGGGAGCTCACAAGGCGACACGGACAATACTAGTGTAGCCGACCAAGACTTGCCCGCGCTACATGAGCTACTGCCAAACTCTCAGCAAAATATCTCATCTTCCACAAAACGACCCAATACTACGTCAGGTTCTTCTGCACGAAAGCGAAAGAGACACGACATTGTGGACAGTGACCCTATGGATGTTGATTCTTGGGGACAAGATGCTCCTGCGGCCTCTGACAAACGCTTAGATGCTGGACCGTTGCCACCGATTCCCCGTCTCCAGCCAAGCGCGAGACGCTCCGTCAACGTTTCTCCAACCAAAACTGTTGTGACGATAGTTGACAGCTCGTCTTCGGAGGCCGAGGAGCATGAAGAGGAAGAAATGCGAGAACGACAAGGTAGTATTACTGATGATTCTGTCAATGAAAGACTGGACTACAAAAGACGCATAAGAGGAGTTCTACCAGCGTCCTGGCTTCGACTGGACCAACAGGCAAGCAGAGACAAAGCGCAAAAAAACCTGCACATCCGACAACGAAATCGCACACCAGAGAAGGAGGTGCGCCGCGGCCTGGCACAAACAAGGACAATAAGCAATGCAGTGGCATCTACGAAATCTATATTGTTCCTTGATGATTCAGATGACGAAAAAACTGTAACACAGCCTGCGACGGCTGAGAAAACGTACCACAGTCAATCACGGATTTTTCTAATACCGGATGAAACTCCAATGCGGCCAAACGACGACCTAGCTGATGAAGGTTTCATAATAGAGCATGATAACATCGATACCATGTTCAGTGGGCCCACAAGAAGGCGGCGTTCCAATGATGCAAGTCGAAATCCCAATGTTGGACAAAGATCGAATGAGCGCACGACCACTAGGCACAAGCAGCAAAAGATCACAGCGTCCTTTAATAGGTCTACATCTACACCTAGTGGTCAGCTGAAGTCTCGACAACAGCAAAATCTACAGCAGTTGGGATCAAAGAGACAATCCGCCCCGCGGCCGACGCCGAAGCCGCTGAGTATTCTCGACGTTATCGAACCTGACGCACCTCAATTCCTAAGAGTCGCAGCACGGACAGCAAAGACAAGAGTTAATCAGGGACGCAGCAGTCCTTCAAAAAAGATCATACGTCTGGCGGAAAGAGTAGACTATATTGATGCTATCGTCTCGCTCAATGAATGGAAGCTCGGTTCCATTCCACAGAGACAGGATGTGTCTGAAGCGAGTAAAAACAAGCGCAAGCAGGTCTCCCAGAAACACTTTGCTGAGCGGGTTGCTGGCCAACCAACTGCAACACGTACTAATTTCAAACAACTTCGAGTGGCAACTCAAAAAGCAGGGAAGTTTGTGAAGCAGACGAGCACTGGAGGATCTGCTCGCTATCTGCCATCTGGCTTTCCACCAAACACTCTGAACGCCGCAAACTTCGCAAGCACTGAGGATAATGACGGTGTACTACCCCTATTAGAACCTACGAACTATGCACGACGGAGCGAGAGAATTCCCGCAGACAGCTTGCGTCCATCACGGCCAGCGATGTTGGAAGCGGAAGATGTTGGAAGGGTCGCGCCTCTCATTTTCCATCGTCAGAAGAAGTTTTTGGATAGTATCTACCAAAAGAATAACCGAGAATCATCCGTGGATGCATCGGATGTCCGTTCTGAAGTCAGCACCGTCAGGCTCTCCACTGCAGGTCTCCCCAAGATCGATCAGCATGATTTTGGGAGGAGGAAACAGTCAGAGAAGCAACCAAAGCACCGCGTGCGACTCAAAAAGGCACGAAAGCCCGTCCGCATCGATGTAGATGCACCGCAATTCAGTCACGCGGCAGATCCCCTTCCCAATTCAAACCCTTTCGAGATTGAACAAACAGGACCGCACACGGCTCATGCAGAAGCCAAGCTTGCTGGTCTTGGCCCATACGGCACAGTGTATACGATACACTTCGAAAGCTTTCCGTTAGACCTTGGAGTATACTTTCACCAATCAACTCTTCTCGGCAGTGGTATCATAGAGGATTGCCGAAAGTCCTTAAACAGGGAAATACTACTGAGTCCGCGGCCGCGAGTCTTTTTCCAATTTGGTACTTATTCTTGCCTCTGGGGTGATTGGAACGCCCAGACATCCTCTGAGCTGGGCATTGTGCTTGACTTGATGGTGGAAGAACTTGAAAGGCCAGAAGGGACCACTGTCTCGGGGGAGTCAACCGTCCTCGAGGCATCGAAATTCATAGCGAAGTATGCAACAAGAGCATTGAACTTCGCAGACCAGTCAGCCGTCAAGCCATTCATCACGAGAGTACTTGATGTGGTCAGGAACTTTCATACTCGCTTGTTTGGTCTCATCGCCGGAAGATCAATGTCAGGAAGGGGCCCCCAAATTACAACTATGGTGTATGACAATTTACTCATTCTTGTATTGGTAACGCTTATGATTTGTACTGAGGACAATAGCCTCATCGCGGAAAGAATGCAAGTGGAAGACCTCCTTCGAAGCTTGGTCGAGGTGTCAGTGTCAAACCTGCTGTTCATGGGGATAGATCGACTCCAAGAAACCTACACGCGACTTCGCGAAACCGGAAACCGCGAGCAAGGGTTGCGAGTAGATCAACCGGTCATTCACTCCTGGGCACTTGTGATGCAGATCCTAGAGATCGCTAATATCCCCCGGGGCTCTTTTTGGGACGTGTTACGGCGATTAACCGTAACCAATGACCGAGTCTCTGCATCTGAGGCACGAACATACGAAAGTATATGGAAGATCTTGTTTACTGTGCTGCCATTGAGCGAGTTCAATTCTTCGGGCATACTGAGACCTGGAAAGCGTTACAAAGCGAAAAGCGATGGATGGATGATTGTGCAACAGCTACTTCGACCAATCTTTTCTATTTACCAAGGGAACACGCGGCAAGTTCCCAGTTTCAATAACTACTGCCGGGCACTGATAAACAGATGTCACTATCTCGTACAGCAATGGGGATGGCGACGCAGTGGAAGTATTATCGGCGTCATTTTCGACTTTTTCGGCTCGCAGAATTTGGAGCATCTGCGCAACGAAGAAGCCAATGCTTCTCCAAGATTCTTGGAACAACTTGCTGGAGAGCCTTCTTTGGCGGTTGAGCCAGGCGACAAGTGCTTCCACGTCTTTCTCAAACTGCTTGCGCTTAGCATCCAGAAGCTCCGCGCTGCTGGTGCTATCAAAGACATTCGCAATCTCGTTGCCCGCATTATTCCTAACCACAACCGCCAACATTTGAAGGAGCAGACAGTACATGAGCGAGACTTGGCAGCTCTCAGAAATCATCACGATCTTTTGGCAACTCTCTTTTGGGCTGCTCCACCAGAATTAAGACCATCACCTGCGTTGATGGAACGGCTGGTAGCCCCGGAGACTTCGCACAAGGAAGCAAGCTTGATCAATATTCGTTGTTGGGGCCAAATTGCTAGATTCATCGTCGCGAAGGGTGAGGCGTCAACTGCATTCAAACCATTCCACCTCTGGCGCAACAATATTTTCCAAAAAATGGTTCAACAATTCGATTCCGCTGCGGCGGACATCCAGCAGCAGCTTCTCGCGTTGCCAAGCGAAGTACGCCACACTATTAGTGAAAACGTCATTAGCTCCATGGTTCTTATGAACAAGGAAGCTGTAGGTGATGTGCTGCAGGCTAGCATTACTGCGTCATTGGATGTCATGGAGCACGCTGCCCACCTAGAAGCAGCGACCTTTTGTCTGAATACTTTGCAGCTCCAGCACATTTACAAACAGTTCGGCGTCTGGCCACCAGAACTGAACTGGAATACGTTGCAAGGAGCTATTTCGACTCTCGACTTATTTGTGGACTACATCGCAGAGTTCAAAGAAAATGAAGAAAGCCAGCAGAGTGAAAGTCACATCCTTGACTCTGTTCAAGGAGATGACGCCCTTCTGCTGTTGGATCATGAGATCTCGGAGAGATACTTCTCCATGGTTCGGTGCATCCTGCTCAATGGCACATCAAGCCACGGCCGAGCAGTGTCCGGCAATTTTGGGGGCGTCGAGCAAGGCGTGGCCGTTGCTGCTCGACTGGCGGCTTGTTTCATCAACGGCGGATTGGTCAAACTGCATGAGCTTTTCAAGCGTGGAAGATTCGGACTATTCGATGGCCCTATCCATAAGCTGGACTTTTATCAACGCCAGTATTTCGTCTTGGTGGTGGTGACACTTCTGAAGGCTGATATCGACAATTTTACGGACGCAGGGTTTACCTTGTGTGAGCTCTGGTTGCTGCTGCTCGTCAGACCCAACCGATATCTCAAATATCAGAGCCAATTAGCTGAAATACTGCGTGAACGTGGTGAATTTTTTCTCCCGTCCGCCGACGACGGGCTCACGAGCTCTCCGAGCTACGAATGTAACGACATACTGTTTGAGTTTGCGATATCTACTATGCGTCGCTCAATTTGTGAGGCCGCTCCGAACCTGAGACGAAATCTGACTGCGGTCCATTCCAAGGCACTGAACCTCGTGATGGAGCAGATGAAGGAAGATTTAAAGGCAACGTCCTCACAGCCAGTTGCCCATATTGCCTACGTCGCGTTTGCTCGACGCGTCATCTCTCTCATCCGAACTCATGGCTCCGAGATTTGCGTCCTGGACAGCTTTTACTACCAAATTAGCAAGGACTATTCCCCATCTGTTGAAGATCCACAGCTGCAAATTGCTGCTATGGTCTCGTACGGCTTGCGCCTGCGCGAAGGCGACCCGAAGGTCGTTCAACAACTTTTCTTCTTCCTGTTCAATAATTTCAAGATGGCCTTGATATCCAACAATCTCGACGAGGAGAAGAAGATGCTACAGAAAGGAATGGCTCAAGACCGTGGGATCACTCAGTTTGTTCTCGGAAAGATGCTTCCGGCTATAATCGAAGCCACTGCTACAAAGTCAGCCGCATACCCTCTTTTGGACTTGTACGTGTGGGCGGCTGGGAACAGGCTCAAGCGATCTACCACGACATATTGCTTGACTGACGCGGAGCTTCCCGGAGTTAGATCTGTCTTACAAACCATTCTCAACGGCATTGATGTATGGATTGCAGAACAAGCACCACTCACAGATGTGAGGCTACACACTCTCGAAAGCTTCTTTGCTGGGTTCAACCTGCTGTGGCCTTCTATTTACGAGTATTCATTGAACCAGGATATATCGTCCGCACCGTGGAGCGAGATCACCGAGCTGATCCGTACACTTGGGCAATACGTCATCTCCGGCAAGGATTCGCTTTGTCAAGGGCGGTTTTGGAACTCTCCGCAGCGATTTAACGAATTCTTCGCCGCCGTGGCAGCTGACAGTGCGCCAAATCGAGGCATAGCAGATGTGGATGTCGAGGGATTCGTCGATAACATCAAGCAAGATGTTAATCGTAACTGGTTTGAGGCAGATGGGCGCATATCTATCCTGACGCCAGGAAAATCACGCGGTGGAGGCGCTTTGCAGAGCGTCCTACAAGCTAGATGGGATGCTGCCACTCTCATTGCAGGCATAAAGTGGCAGTTTATGGAGTGGCTAAATTGGAAGAAAAGAATGGATGGAGGTGTTGATCCGATGGAGAGGGAGGAGTTCGAAATGAGGCCATTTTAAATGTGCATTGAGTTGGCGTTGCGGCGTTTTCGATGGACTACCAACTACCTGGGTTGGATGAAATGTTCGGTATAGTAATGATCATCACGACTTTTTTTTAAATTAAGAACTGTAAGACCGCGCCTTCAGCTGCCATTTCTGGTTTGTGTTGGTTGCCAAGGGAGGGACTCACCGTAGAAGCATATCGTTTGTATGCAATTGATTTAAAATGTTATGTTTTGCGACGACATCAGAAAGGTTCCTGTTTTCCAGTTTTGCCGACCAGCTTGACTTGCACATACAGCCAGACGCGTGCACCGCGACAAGCACTTTACTTAACTGGGGCTCTTCGCACCACGGCAACTCAATCCAAGCTACGCGGCCATTACTTCACATAGCCCATGAGAACACTGTGAAGAATGGAAACTCTTCTCAAACTACCATATGAGTCGACATTGACTTCCCTATACCAACAATATCCATGTCGCGAGCACCAAATACGGTCTCTAGCCAGCTTGATCAACGTCAGTAGCCGGTCCCGAGCCCCATTCCCTGTGAGCTCTCGCAAGTTGCGCGGCACAATCTGCTAACACTTCTCCTGCCTAGCCCGATGCGATTCCTTGCCGAAACCTCGTCATTCACGGCGTCGAAGCCACCGGAAAATCCTGCGTGACAGCCGCTCTTCTCGACCGGCTCTGCGAGCCGACTCCAAACCAAGGCGATGCGCCGGCGCTCCTCAACCACGCCCGTATCGATGCCGCGCAGTGCATAACGGTGCGGCACCTCTATGAGCGCATCGTGAGCTCCGTGGCATTCGCGCTGCAGGCGCACGACCTGGCGCCGAAGCGCTGCGAGACCATGGCGCAACTCGCGGTCGCGCTCGGCGAGATGCTCCAGGACGCGGGACGCGAGGACCCGCGACGGCGATTCGCTCTCGTCCTCGACTCGATAGATAAACAACGCGATGCGCCGGCGACACTGCTCCCCGCGCTCGCGCGGCTTTCCGAAACGGTAAGAAAATGCGGGCGTTGGGGCCACGAGGCCTAATGGGAACGCAATTCGCTAACGAAGCCCTCTTATTCTCCAGATACCGTACCTCACATGCGTCTTAATAGCCACTTCGCCGCCCGCAGGTTTCTTGCGTTCGGCCGGCTCGGCCAATCTGCACTTTCCGCCGTATACGAAGCAAGAATACGTGCGCATCCTCGCACTCTCGCCGCCCGCGCCAGTCAAGGGCACGACGCAGCAGGAGACGAGCGATCTGTGGTCAAGGTTCTGCGCCGCCGTGCACGATTCGCTGATACGAGCGGCCTCGCGAACGCTGCCGTCGTTCAGAGACTGCTGCCACGCGCTGTGGCCGCGGTTCATCGCGCCAATCGTCGCGCAGACGCACGCGCCAAAGGAGTTCTCCAAGCTGCTCGTGGCCGCGCGCGTGCATTTCCAAGACGAGTCCCTTCTCAACCCAAGCATCGTTGCTGTGCGGCCCAGCGCCGCTGCTGCCGCGGCGCCAGCCAAGACTGCCGGGCCTGCAGCATCAACTAAGGCTAAGCCCGGCAACGTGGCCGAGCTCACGTCCCTGTTGCCCACAATTGCGCGCCTCCTCCTTCTTGCCGCCTACCTCGCCTCGCACAACCCGTCCAAGCATGACCTCACGCTCTTTTCCACCTTTCACCACGGGAGGAAGCGGCGGCGCGGCGGCGGCACCACGTCCCGCGGCGGGCCCGGCCGCAGCAAGCACCGCAAGATCGCGCGTAAGCTCCTGGGCTCGCACGCATTTGTGCTGGAGCGCATGATGGCCATTTTTGAAGCGGCACGCACCGAGTGGATCGACGACGGCCGCCCCGTGGGCGCCGCGGGCGTCGACGGCGACGTGGGCATGGCGCTCGCGACGCTGGTCAGCCTGCGGCTGCTGGTACGCGTGGGCGCGGGCGACATGATGGATCGCTCGGGCAAGTGGAGGATCAACGTGGGCTGGGAAGCTATCCGTGGCATAGGGCGGAGTATTGGGGTCGAAGTAGAAGAGTGGCTGATAGAGTAGGGCTGTGAACGTGATATGTGTAGAACGCAGAACCACAGCATGTAAATCAATAGGCAAGCAGCATGTTTTACAAATCAAGTACTTGGTTCAGACAGGCGAACGACCCCGGATGGCTTCTCCCTAAATAAAGTCTCCCATAAAATGCATAGTTTGGGTCACGAGAGGTGTACGTACATGTCAAATGATTTCTTGCTATCACTTCTCTATATTTTGATTCGATACCGCTCATTGCGCAATCTAGACATGTTCTGGCTGCGTATAAACATGCCACAAAACAAATATACAAGTTGTCAGGTTTTTTTCCCTTGCAAGAGAGATCCTGGGAGTTCCCGATTCCAAAACGCCAAGAATGCGTACACGACGAAGATGTCTACGACAAGGTCCCAGATAGCCCAGTAAAACGAAAAAAAAAAAAAAAAAGGGCAAATTGGGGCAGTGCAAGCCTGCTGTCTGCCAATGCGCTGATAATCATGTAGAAACGAGAAGCAAAGCCGACTTGGAAAGTTATCACGACCGTCGTTGTGTCTAGTCATCGGATCTCTTGGAGTCGCCAGCACTTGGGCCAAAGTAACCGTAACCTTGCGAAATGGTGCGTGACGACGGGACGAAACTATTTCGGCTGCGGCCCGAAACTTCGTTGATGGGCAGTAGCGGGGTTCCGGCGCGGGAATCCGTCATGGCTTGAGCCTTGCGGTCAGCCTTATTGCTCTCGCTCGTGCGGTCGTACAGGTAGAGACCGAAAATGGTCAACGTGATGCCGATGCCCTGCAGCGGGGTCATCGGGCTGCGGAACCAGAGAATGGCGAGGACGATGACAAAGACGCGCTTCAGCAGGCTGGCCACGGAGTAGGTCACGGGCGACACCATCGAGAGGAGGACAAAGGCGAGAATATTCTGGCCAAAGTGGAAGACGCCGTTGAAGACAAACTCGACCGTCAAGCGGCCGTGGTCAAAGGCATTAGGCTTGTTGCTCAGCTCCACGGCGCCGTCTTGAAGTACGTCGCCTAGCAGGGTGATGCCCTCGGCAAAGAACCAAATGGGCAGAGTGAGCACGAATGCCAGACCGGATGAATAGCACAGTAGGTTGAGCTTGTCGAGCTTCTTGGCTTGGGCGCCAACGACACCGCTTTCGACCTTGGCCGCTTCATTGAACAATTTCTTGGAGAAAATGTTTTGCGTAACAAACACAATGGCAGCGAGAAATGCTTGAATAACACCAAGTAGATGCCCACCAAAGCCATGCTTCCCAGAGCAGGCTAGCATGACGCCCAGCGTCAACGGTATTAGAGAGAGGTAGGTCGCTTGGGGATAGCGAATATTGTAAATAAATCGGTAGGCCAGGACCGTAAATAGAGGAGAAAGGCCCTTGATTGTGTGTACAAGCGACACGGGAATGCGTGACGTGGCGCTTGAGCTGAGAAGATGGCCAATGATCTGAAATGCCGCGAGAGGCAAGGTCGTCATGATCACGTCGCGAGTCGGGGGCCGAATGGGATATTGGAGAGCGGATATCTTTTCTCGGAGGATGGGAAAGATGGTGGCGAGCCATGCCATGCATATGCAAAGACTGGAGACGAAGCCAAACTGGACCAGGGTGAGCGTCGCAGGCATGTTGAAGGCGTTAAGAATCGATTTGGACGAGGTGTTGGTAAGTGCAGATGACATGTACCACGTTATGCAGAGGATCTGCATCTCAATTAGCATAGAAGCGAGCAGGAGATGCGTGCGTCTTGTTCTGGTCGGGAGGCCGTACAATGAGCTTGGCGGATACGGGCGCCTTGAGCGCATCAGCAATCTCGTGAGCATTTTGGCTGAAGCTGCCATTCCGAGTGCGGATCGTGCGAAATGCGTCACTAAGACTCTTTTGCCGCGCATGGCCGCGAGCGGCACCATTCGAATGGGTCCATATGCCCAGGCCGGGCGGCGGGACCAGCTGGTGGCCGTTTTCTCTCTTGATGGAGGACGAGGCGGTTCCGCGGTCTGAAAGGGAAGCGCTCCCGTTGGAGTATCCGGACGGCGACTTGTAGGGGCTAGGCGAGCGCACACCGTTGACGACCTGCGACGTGTCCAATTCAGGAAACTTTTCCATTGGTGCAGATCGCAGAATGAAAGGGTTGGCTATGGCGAAGCGGGAGGAGCGACTCTTGGCGATCTTTGCATGCGTGTTGGTCAGGAATTCTGGCAGCGTCGTCGAGGCCAGCTAAGAAGGGATTGAGGCGGACGGCCCGCTGTAGCAGCACTGAAACGGACGACAGGAGAGCAACACCGGAATAGCGTAGAAATATAAGAAAACAAGGGCGACTAAGGCCGACAAGTCATGGCAGGCGTTACAGTAGACGTGAACAAGCCTACAAGAAAGGAACAGAAGGGGAAAAGAGAAAAAAATCGCAAAGGCGGTCGTGGATCAAAAGTCAGGAGCCAGCCAAATTCTTGAAAGCGTAATTACAGTAGGGAAAAAGGGTGCGCTGACGCACCACGCCTTGAAGATCGCCAGCTCTGGATGGGTGGGCGTGCGCGCACAGCGATAGGCGAGAGGTACCATGATGCCAGCGCCGGAAGATGTTATTTTTGTCAGGTATTTAGGTGGCTTTCTTTGGAGTGGTCGCCGCCGCTGAATACACAAGCTACCTAGGTACTTGCCTACCTAGCACTCGGTGG